CTGGGTAAACACCCTACACTATACCAATAAGAGTCCTTGGGCTAGACTCCTAACCCTACCTTTGCCTACCTAAGAGCGTCTGCCAAATGCCGTAAATGTAATGTAACCCACAAATAGGCTTTCAAGCTTTGGATATTCGTAAGAATAACTCATGTCCTGTGTGGATAAAATGAAAACACTATCGCTTTGCTTTCCTCACCGATGAGAATGAGCCGCGCGGTCTGGAAGAGCCGCTCATCATCCCAGTCTGGATGCTCCTGTTTGAGAACGTCGCAGACGCGGTTGTGTTCCCGAAGCCAGATTGTAGCGTACATCATGAGGCCTGGGACAAGACCAAAGGCCTCGTGACCCACAGCAAGGCGATGGGACTCGGGCACGTGGGGAGGATAGTGCATGTCCACCTGGACGTCACTGACTGTGGGAGGGTACACCTCACCATCCAGTACCTAAACAGGACAAAGCAACATTTATTCAACCTTATCTTTTCGAAAGAGCATTTGTTTTTACCCAAAAGTACCCACACTTCAATTTCTAACTCGTAACTACATAACTTACATATTAATTTCGTAGTAGTTACCAAATTATTTATAGTTACTGATTAAGCCTTAAAATGAATAACTGAGTAATTAGGGGTTAATGTTGGTTATAATGATTCAAAAATAGCACGCAAAAGAGGTCATGCACGTCGTTGGCTCCCAATAGCATTCATGAATTATGAGCCACAGAAGTTTCCTTTAAGTGAATTTGCAGTCAAGTGTTAAGAAAGAGGAACAACGTTAAACTTGACACAGCAAGCTTATCTAACAGGAGAGGGAAGTTCACACATAACGAAGTTCAGAGAAAACGAATCGTACCACAAGAAACTATTTGGAGATGGTGACATCAAGTAACCTACCTGAAATTTGAGCTTGCCATCCTTAAAGAGCCGTAGCTTGTGCTGACGTTCCAGTTCCTCTCCGTAAATATGACTCAGATCCACCTGAGAATGGCATAGAAGGACTAATAAAATCTCAGCTCCGACAAAAATGGTGAGAGCAGAGAACTGGATTTAAATTGTTAATGCTCTCATCAAATACAGCCAGAACATCTGAAGAACCCGAAACTTCTTCAGAGGGTTTCGTACTCACTCCATGGTTTTTCGCCCTGGTGAAGGCTGGGCCTTTCTTCATATCAGTTTTGAAGAACTGATGTGTGAAGTGCTGGGCAAAGAAGGCAAACATCAGGCTGGTTCGCTGAGGGTCAGGGATGAACTTTCTCCTCAGCAGGAGCTTCTCCGCTACCATCTTCACGTCCGGCAGCTCTTTCTTACCTGCAAGAGAATATCAACATGAACAAGAGCCCAACTTTAGAACATCTTATCTACATTACAGGCTGCAGAAAGTCGCTTGAAAAGACCTGGAATTCAAACTCCACTACACACAAGTCTATTGGCATGCTCTTTTTTTTCCACTAGCATGGGAAGCACCATGTAAACACTTGCCTAAACCGCTTCTTACACACTCAGACATGCAGGCAAGCTGGTTGGACATGCCGACCTGTGCTGTGCGTAGCCTGAAGGCTGGTGATGTAACGTACCTCTAAGCGGCTTGGTAAGCTTGCAGAAATGCCAAAGAACAGGTTGGGAGAGGAAAAGAGCGAGGCTCACCTGCAACACCCATCGGCGTCGGGCAGTCCTGAGGAACGGGGGGTAGGGTGCGTGTGAAATAGGACAGATTGGAATAGGCCTCCCAGCTCTTGTAACCATAGTCAGAATTGAAGGTTGGAGGGCTGTCAATCAAATGGGCCCGTGCTGATTCAGGAAAAAAAGACAACGTTAGACTGGTGGATAACCTTCAGGGTGAGTCTTCAGGGTTGGAATTTGTAAGAACCATCAGTCATTGTTTTTGGACTTACATGTCAGAACATAGCGCATGATGGCGTCCCGCAAGAACGAAATGTTGTTGATGATGTTCCACAGGCCTTTGAAGTGCGTGAGGATGTAGTGCACCGTGTTCGGCGTCGGTTTCAGAGACACTTTGATCCAGGTGAAGAATTCCGCTGTCGAACAAAAAGGCTGTGTGAAAAGCAGCCCCTAAAAAAGCCCCCCCTGGGAAAAACATTTCGCTCACGAAAAACAAACTGGTTGCACTTACGCGTCGTGCAGTTCGGCCCACAGTATCCAGTGCGCGTGCAGTCACATTCATAAGAGTCAGTGCCAAGTGCTGTACACACACCTCGATTCTGGCATGGCTGGGAGCAACAGGGGTTGGCTGCACACATACGAAAATACAGGTTATTCAGCCTCGTATAACAGACGCTGGCTTAACTGGGCCACTTTATATGGCAACTACACTTACATTCCCCAGCCATTCAGTAGGACATGACAGTTAGCACCATTCAAAACATCACTATACTACATGTAGCCAACTTCCTATGAAGCTGTACAGGTACAGTCAAAAGACTTCAGTAGGTTAGAGAGCTGGGCCATATGGCAAAAATGTAATGTTATGATATTTAAACTCTTTATGATACACAATATGTCATGATATTTACTTTTTCCATCAAAAACTATGAATACAATTCAATATTACACATACTACACTAATCTGTGCTAAATCTGACGTCTGCTCAGCAAAGCCTGTGACATATTTCATCACCATAATGATTAATATAGTCATATTGCCCGGCAGATACTGTTTGTAGGTCATAATTGTCTGAAGTGACTCACCTGCTTCGCAAGCCAAGCACCCCAGATACAGAAGCAGAAGGAGCGACGCGGTTCTGTGCATCCCAGCGCCTCAGGATGTGTCTTCTCCTCTTGAGCTCGGAGACTGAATGAACTGCAGGCGAGCGAGGTGCGCTTTTATAGGCCACAGAGTGACGCAACCACGCCGGAAACGAGCAGCGCGCGTTTCGGCTCGTTTGAACCCCTCGGATTAGACTGACTCAGTGCAGGTCAAACTTCACGCCTCTTTACCTCATTGAGGCAGAACTGACATCAAAACAACGAGCCGACGAGCGGTTTTTAGGAAAGTTTCAGGGCAGAAATAAGTCCTGTTAGGAGTTCACTGTCGAACCGAACCGCGACGTCTGAGCTTCATCCCGCCCTGCGAAAACGATTCAGCGTGTTACCTTTAAAAAAAAGAGGCCAATTAACCACTTCTGAGGCTCGAGCTGCATCCAGCACCACAAACTACCATAATATACATGCACTAGATTGATGGTGTGTGATTTGGGACGCAGCCCTGGATCAGGCTATTGTTCTGTTACTGTTTGATGTTCGGTTAAATCAGTGAAGCAGCTCACTCTTTCAGCTCACTCTGTTTTAAGGACAATTCCACCAATTTTTCCAAAATTTCTGCATAATTAAATCGTTGAGATGTAAACAGTCATTCAGAGTGATTTGATCTGAAATGGTTGGTTGTGGAGAAACTTACAGACTCCTATTTCTTTACAGTGGTGGTGATAGGAACCAGGGGTCTCAGTGTCTCCAACACAAATATAGCCATTTTATTTACTATCCAAAACCATCAGTGAACCTGCGTGTGTCTTAGTGTTTTATATGTAACGTCAATGATGGTAAAATATGAAAAAGATCTGAGGAAATGTTCTCTTAAGGGACTATTTTGCCTCACAAATACCCCTCCACCTTGACTGGATTAAAATAAATGTATCAGCAAGAGGTTTCTGGACAAAGCGTTATCACAAAACTGTCTAAAACGATGTCTCAGGCATCAGGCAGCATTTTATGCAGTCCATTTAATGTAATGACCTTCTGTAAGGGAGCTTTTAAAGGCATTAAACTCTCCAGACGTCTGGTTCCTATCACCACCACTGGGTTTCTCCAGAACTGAGCGTTTCACACCAAACCCACTCTTGAGGACTTTAATTTAAATATAATGTAGTAATTTTAATGGAGTTTGGTGGAGTTGCCCTTTAAAACTGAAACATCTTTTTTACAGTGTGTTGGACTCTTGTTTTGGTCCAAATCTCGACGGGGAATTAAGACTGAAATGTGAGTGAATACAATGCCTTTCCTTACAGATGAATAATAAAGAATAAATCTGTTAGGACTGAGAAAATGTACAACAAGGGCTACTGAAAGCGTCTGTTTACATTTTTTAAGTACAATTGAATAAAAAAGAAAGGCGCATCTTGTTGTTTATCTCCTTTAAAACATCTAACTGAGCTCTTTGAAGGCCTGATTGTAATCTGTGGAGTTAATCGGAGCAGAGAGACAGATGTACAGCAGGACTGAGCTTGTGAACGACGCACATAAAGCGTGATGTTATTTCGGCTGTACGACTAACCGAAGGGCTCGTTTTATGTAAGTCAACCTAAAAAGAAAGGATTTGAAAATGAATCTATAATAATGTAATAATAATATAATAATAATTTCATTAGCAGCGAAGTTCAGTGAGGAGAGTGGAATTTATTTAAAAATTCAGGTTCATATAACAAAACACTGCGGTAAATGTAGTATTTATAAACATTGAAGCTGATAAAATGTTTATTTTAGACACCAGAAGGAGTGTTGAGGTTTAATTAGAGGACCTGCTTATGTTAACAAAAGTATATCACTGGTTAAAGTGAGTGGAATCGAGACCTGGACGTGCCAGAGGCGACTGCGCTGTGAGATTTTTCCCCCACCCGTTTTCAGTCAGGCCCCGCCCTCCTGTGCTAGGATTGGCTAGTAGGTCTTACTCATCGCCTGGGGTTCCAAACTCATAGCCAATCCCAGCGTTTCCCCACTCGTTTTCAGTCAGGCCCCGCCCTCATGTGCTAGGATTGGCTAGTAGATCTTACTCATCGCCTGGGGTTCCAAACTCATAGCCAATCCCAGCGCAGGGGGGCGGGGCCTGACCAAAGACGAGTGGGGAAACGCTGGGATTGGCTATGAGTTTGGAACGGCGCCGATGAGTAAGATCTACTAGCCAATCCTAGCACAGGAGGGCGGGGCTAACAGAATGCGGGCGTGAAATGAAATAACGGGGACTTCAGAGCGGCGTCAGAGCGCCCTCTTGCGGAAGAAATGGCCCAGAAATAGAGGAGAAAAGCGGTTCTCAGCAGTTCTCCGCATCCTGCGGTACTTCAATACAGCTTCGTGCACTTCGTTAGTTAGGATTTGCGTCTGTGCACAAACAGTGTTTGGGTTTCCACGCAAAAGCTGGTATTTTCCTCTCCGAAGCAGCGTAAGAGCTCCATGCTTTCCCCAAGGCAGCCCTTTAAAGTGTCCAGGGCTACAGGTTAGTGAGCACACACACACACACACGCACGCGCACACACACACACACACACACACACACTACGGGAAAGGAGACAAATGTGTTTCCCAGACATCATCGTCTGCTGCTTGTGAGGGGCGTGTTTTATTAGCACTAGGAAGATCTTGCAGGCGCCTCCTCCCGTTCCTCAAATGATGGTCACTTTGTGCCCAGGAGAAATGCGATGTTGTCGAGCTTCCCAGACTTGACTTCGCCTGCAGCCTCCGTCTTCGGGTAAGCAGCCAATGTTACTCGTATCTGCACAACATTGCAACTTTTAACGAGTGTTGAAGGCTCTCAGAGGGAGATCTGCACTGTGTGTGTGTTGGGGAACGGGGTGAATGCGCTCGTGCTGAGCTGCGCATTTCATAACTCATTCATTCCACACGAACCTGTTATAACGCTTAAAAAGACGCGCGTGAGTGAGTGTGGAGCTTCTGCTCAGCTGGGAGAAGAAGGTTATGAAACACATGGCCGGTAACCCCATCATCTCTATCCACCCCCCCCCCTTTCTGAAGAGCGTTTGGTTCCCCTTCCTTCGCCTCTTTATTTTATTTATGCATGCAGAATGTAGTTCAGGCTTTTGTTGATCTCGAACTGACTTTTTTGCGGACTTTATTTGAGTCTAAGAATGCTCAGACATGCATGGCCCGTCTTTCCTGTCTGCTCCGAGCTCCTCTGAGCGCCGTGTGTCAGATCGCGACTCAGTGTGAGCTGTAGGTCCATCTATCTTCTCACTCGAAATAGGTGGAGCGAGACGCCACGGAGTTGTTCCTTTTTCCACCTGTATTGGGGGAAGCCCCGCCTCCGCTGCACTAGGATTGGCTTGTCGTTGATACCAACAGTAGTTGTGCTAATTAGCTAGTCAAGCTGTAAGCTTTGGTTTAGTGCAGTTATCTTTGGTTGTTGTAGTCTTTGGCTTACTTACCAGCAAACTAGCAAGGGAAAAGTACTGAACCTAACAGCAGTCATGAGCTGCGTCCCAATTCAGGGCCTGCGTCCTTCGGAGGCTGCATTTGAAGGCTGATTGAGTCACAGCGGCGCGACTAGACTGTCCCGTTTTGAAGGCTCCTTCATATGCATCCTTCTTTTCTATGGCAACGAAGGATCCAACAGGTGGATCCATCGCCAGCCAACATATCCCAAGGTTCATTGCGTGCCGCTGAGGATTCGAGAACATGGCGTAGTCGGCAGAGGAGCAAACGGCGGCTGAGGAGGTACTTTGAAATGAATGTATTGGGTTTAAACTGAGGCGAATAGCTAATGATACAAATGTTAAAAGAGCCAGTGTGGTCTGAAGCACAACTTATGCTAACGTTACGTTTTGTTTTAGGGAGCGAGGAGCATCTCCAGCTCTAATAAATCAAAAAATCAAAAAATAAAATCAAAGTTTCTGGCTCCGTCAAAAACTTGACAAGAGCGGTGTTTCATGACGCACAAGGGCGGGAACAGCGGTGCTGTGACGCAAACAGGAAATCCGCCGTAGAGCAGACCGTCTCATTTCAGTTCAGCCTTCGCGGGTCTACGCAGCCTTCGAAGGATGCAGCCCCTCAGCTATGGAGTGCGTTCACATGCGCTTAATCCGATAATCCGATAAATAAATTTGTGTCCTTAATGTAAAGGCACTGAGCGAATCTGATAATGGTAATCAGATAATGGAAGACTCCAGGTCTACATGAGTCAGGCAGTATTGGATTTCTGCTTTGACACCAGCCAATAAACTCACAGAATAAGGTGTGACGTAAATATTACGTAAAACTCAAACGTAATACTGTGGCTCTTTTTTTAAAACTTTAAAAACTTTTGCGGAAAATTTGAATAAACATAATTTAGAGCAATCTTGCTCTTGGAGATCTACCATCCTGCACAGCTTAGTTCCACCTGATCCAGTTAATGAAAGCCTTTAGGAGCGTCTGAGCCAGGTGTGTTGGGTCTGAACTCTTCAGGGAGGTAGATCTCCAGGTCCAGGATTGAGCACCCATGATCTAGAAGATGAAGAATGTTTAAATTCTTAATTTTGTCAGGCATGTAGTTGGTTGCATCATTGCTCCAGAAGTGTTTTGTTGTTATCTCGCAGGTGCTGCATTAAACGCAGCTTGTCGTTTTGGAGGCAGTGCTCTATTTCAGCACATGCTCAGACTGAGAAAAACGAAAGAAATCAGAGTAAGAGTGAACATGCACTAAAAATCCAGTTACTGAGCTAAAATCCAGCTCTCTTTATCGTATTTCTTAATCGGATTTCTAGAGCTAACTCCAATCTAAGAAATCGGAGTGTGCTGTTTACATGACCATTTGAATAATCAGATAAATGCAGAAATCTGATTATGATTGGATTACTAAGTGCATGTAAACACAGTCATGGATAACAGAAGAAGTTTGTTACCTTAAACCCAGTGTAAATATAGGGGACTGAATGGTTTTGAAATATTAAGCAATTTAAAATGCTTTATTGCTAAGGCTTATAAACAGTGAGTGTGTTTAAATACACTTAATAATCCGATAACTGCAGAAAATCAGATTTTGTCAGTAATCCAATCAACACATTAACATGCACCTGAGAATCAGATAGTGGGAAACTCTGTGTCTACATGAGTCAGACAGTCATCAGATTTCTGCTTTGCAACCAGCCAATAGATAGATAGACAGACAGACAGACAGATAGATAGATAGACAGTGCCACTTTACCTGAAAATCCAGCTCTCTTTATCCGTTTTCTTAATCAGATTTCTAGATCGGAGTATGGTGTTTATATGACCGTTTAAATAACCGGATAACTGCAGAAATCCGATTATGAACGGATTATTATATACGCACTCAGTGTTGCCCCCCATTTTTTGGGGGTTTGGAAAGAGAAATGTGTCAGATCATAATGATTTCTAGAAAGTTCTGCTACCAAAGTCGACACTTTTGTTCAAATCACATCAAATCACATCAAATCACATTTATTGTCACATCACATTGACACAGGCACAAGGTGAGTGACAATCTTAGGTGCGTAGTCCCATTGTAGAATTAAAATGCAAAATATGTATGAATGTGTGTATATATATACATATATATATATATATATATATATATATGTATATATAAATAGAAAAAAGAAATATATATTCACTCGATCCTTTGCCCCTCTGCCTCCAAGGACTCATCTAAGAGCTAATATAGTTTGTAATATAGTCTAATAGTCAAGTCAAGTCAAGTCAAATTTATTTATGTAGCGCCTTTTACAACAGATGTTGTCACAAAGCAGCTTTACAGAGAATCCGGGTCCACGCCCCCAGTGAGCAAGCCTTGGCGACAGTGGCGAGGAAAAACTCCCTCAGCAGGAGGAAGAAACCTGGAGAGGAACCAGACTCAAAAGGGGAACTCATCCTCCTCTGGTCGACACCGGATAACAGCACAGACACAAAGCAGTATAAGTGGATACAGTTTAACACCACTGTGCGCCGGCCGCATCAGTCACGTCAGACCCTCTTAGGACGGGCAGCCGCTCAGCTCAGGGAAAAAGAGGGGGAGAGGGAAAGAGGGGGGGATAGGGGGGATAAGAGGGACATAGTTAGGAAAACAAATTAACCAAAGGCTCGACTAAACAGGTAAGTTTTTAGCCTAGACTTAAAGATGGAGGCTGTGTCTGAGTCCCGAACACAGACTGGTAGGTTATTCCAAAGCTGGGGGGCTTTGTATGAAAAGGCTCCTCCCCCTGACGTAACTTTATTTATTCTGGGTACTAATAATGAGCAGCACCTTGTGATCTAAGTGGGCGTGTCGGTTGATAATAGGAAATAAGGTCACTGAGGTACTGAGGATCAAGGCCATTCAGAGCTTTATACGTCAGTAGAAGAATTTTGTACTCAATGCGGAATTTAACTGGCAACCAATGTAAGGTACACAAAATTGGGCTAATGTGGTCAAATTTCCTGGTTTTGCTGAGAACTCTGGCTGCAGCGTTCTGGACTAACTGAAGCTTGTTAAGGTTTTGGCTGGAACAACCAGAAAGCAGAGCGTTACAGTAATCTAACCTGGACGTGATGAAGGCGTGAACTAACGTTTCTGCATCCTGTAGCGACAGTGCATTTCTTAATTTAGCGATGTTATGAAGGTGGAGGAGAGCTATTCTGGTAATATTGGTAATGTACTCATCGAAGGCCAGATCGGGATCGATCGTGACACCAAGACTTTTTACAGATGTGCCTGGTGCAATTGAGAAACTATCGAGCTTAAGAGTTAACGTAGGCAGATTATCCCTAGCAGCTTTTGGACCCAGAAGAAGAACTTCTGTTTTTTCCGAATTTAGTAAGAGGAAGTTACTTGACATCCATTCTTTAATGTCTTTGACACAGTCCTCTATCTTATTAAGTTCGATTTTGTCCTCTGGTTTAGCTGAAATATATAATTGTGTATCATCGGCATAGCAGTGGAAACTGATGCCATGTTTTCTAATGATGGTAAATCAATATTTGGTAAATCAATATTTTCTAATACTGCAGTGCAAGAGACCAGATACTCCCAGCCAATCCCAGCAAAGGGGGCTTGTTGGAATATGGAAAAATGACCAGCCTGGGAACAGAGCTTTAGCATCGTCGGGCCTGTTTCTCTAATGCTACGTGACCAGTAGCACTACACGCAGGCAGACACACGTGCTCAAGTCAAAAAAGTCTGGCTAGGTTTAACTGAACCACAGGAGCAGCAGACAGTAAGCAGCCACTGTTTGCGTAAGACAGGGCTTTACATGACCTTGGAAGTTCTTGCCTCACTCATGATCTCAACTTAAAAAAGTGAAGTTACACAATAAAACGTGCAGTAAAAAGTTTTCATTCAGCACTTTGAGAGTTCAACATTTCAAGCCTGTGAGAGTCCATTCAGTCTTGTAGGTGTTGATTCAGCACTTAAGCCCAGGGGTCATCAGTTCCAGCTCAGTGATTTCCCTGCTGAAACACACCTGACTCAACTAACTGGTTAAGGACCAGGTCTAGTCGGTATGTTAGAACGAACAGGACTGGAATGGATGATTTAAGTGTTCATTAAACACTGAGGTGTTTATTTAAGCTAACAGGAAGCTCAGAATTAATAGAGGTATAAGCTAATTCAGCGTTGTAAGTGGTCAACACTGGAGGTATTCTTTGAACCCTTTAGGTGTTCATTCAACCATGTAGGTGTTTATTCAAAACTGGAGTTGTTCATTCAACCCTTTAGGTGTTCATTCAACATTGGATATCGCTGCTGTCGGAAACAAAACCTCGTATCTCCAAAATGGTAACTTTACAGGAGAAGGAAAAAACATACTTTACTTTTAATGTAAGTCAATGGAACCAGACATATTTCTAAGCAATTTTGGCCCGTTCATCATGAAAGTTTGACACAATATAAAGGACAAAAGGTATTTTCAAATTATGTAAAAAAAAACTGAAAAACAACAAAAATGGAGATTTTGTTCCGACAGCAGCGATATGTTCATTCAACAATGGAGGTGTTCATTCAATGCTGGAGGTGTTCATTCAACGCTGGAGGTGTTAATTCAACCCTTTAGGTATTCATTTAACACTGGAACCGTTCATTCAACCTTTTAGGTGTTCATTCAACACTGGAGGTGTTCATTCAACACTGAAAACATTCATTCAACCCTTTAGGTGTTCATTTAACACTGGAAGTGTTAAATCAACCTTTTAAGTGTTCATTCAAGACTGGAAATGTTCACTGAATCCTTTAGGTGTTCATCCAACACTGGAACCGTTCATTCAACCTTTTAGGTGTTCATTCAACACTGGAGGTGTTCGTTCAACCCTTTAGGTGTTCATTTAACACTGGAAGTGTTAATTCAACCTTTTAAGTGTTTATTCAACACTGAAAGCATTCATTCAACCCTTTAGGTGTTCATTTTATAGTGGAAGTGTTAAATCAACCTTTTAAGTGTTCATTCAACACTGAAAATGTTCACTGAATCCTTTAGGTGTTCATCCAACACTGGAACCGTTCATCCAACCTTTTAGGTGTTCATTCAACACTGGAGGTGTTCATTCAACCCTTTAGGTGTTCATTTAACACTGGAAGTGTTAATTCAACCTTTTAAGTGTTTATTCAACACTGAAAGCATTCATTCAACCCTTTAGGTGTTCATCCAACACTGGAAGCGTTCGTTCAACCTCTTATGTGTTCATTGAACACTGGAGGTGTTATTCAACACTGGAGGTGTTCATTCAACACTTTAGGTGTTCATTCAACACCAGGAGCCTTCATTCAACCTTTTAGGTGTTCATTCAACACTGAAAACATTCATTGAATACTATAGTTGTTCATTCAACCCTTTAGGCTTTCATTCAACACTGTAGGATGCAGCTAGTAGATAATATTTGAAAATATGTTCTCAAAAGGATTTTGCAAATAATACAGAGTTATAACACTGAAATACTTTTTTCCCATTGTGACATATGAGACCTTGATATATGTCTTTTGTTTTTTTCCAATAAATTCCCCACAGTAACAAATAATCGGTAATTAATAATCTAGTACTTTTATTAGCAGTAGGAGTATGCCTTAAAGTGTATAGCCTCCTTGTGAACAGTATTATGCTAAGATATGATAGCGGAATTATAATTTGCAGGATAATTTATCTAACAGCTGCCAGAGTTTCACTAGATTTTTAAACAGTTTCACTTTTTTTCTCATATGTATAACATGAATTATTCTGTTCCAGCTAGAAAATGTTTATTTCAGAGGAATACGAGCCCCTGTGTCCCAAACGCTCCAAAAAAGCTTTTTTCCCCCTCAAAACAAGTATGTTTTTTCCTGACTTCATATAATATACAAAATATTTTTGTGATAAAAAGTGTGTGTCACAATAGTTTAATGAGATGATGTAGGCCAACTAGTACTGATAGTGGACTAGAGCTTGTAGCACGTAAGAGAGAAGAGAGAGGAAGGAAAGTTGGTAACATTTGATGCTCGATAGAATTTATTACACTGTTCACTGATGAGAGATTGTCTAATATAGAAATAACATTCAATTACTCTGCACTAATAATAATGCAACACATTTAATAGAGGTGTGTGCAATAGGGCTGTAACATAATACATATTTTTAGGGTTTTTTCCATTCCGAGGTCAAGATTTTATTACTTTTTTATGTTTAATGTGCTGGCTTGATTCTACAGAGTGCCAGTTGTATACTACACAAATTGGTTTGTCCACTTCAGGCCTCTATCCAAAAAAAAAAACAACCCAAAAATCGGAACCAGCAGTATTTATAAGTGACTTCAGAGGGCATACTATATGCTCCTCCCCCTCTACCCTACTTTACTGTAACACGATGCACCCACATGCCTGGTTTTGAACACCATGGCTTACACAAATTGCAGCAATTGAGGTAGCCTTGAAAAGACCAAGGGGTGTTTCTGATAACTGTATTGACATCATTACGCCCATCGTGTCCAGTCAGCGTTGACTGGTCTGTTAGCGTCATCTACTACTATGATCAAATTTATGACTCGTGGCAGCAGAAAAATGATAATGTTCTTCTTGGCCTAACCGTAAAAGCGCCCTGGCTCTTGATACAGCCTGCTGACTCATAGAGTTTAGTCTGAACCAGAGCAGTGAGAGTGGAAGTATGTGTTCTTCCATCATGTTACCAAGAGCCCTATCTCGGTTTTCTAGCAGCACACTTCCCCCTCTCCCTCTCGCCTTCTCACACAAATGCAAACACAGCCTTGTGAACTGCACTTCTACCATTCTTGGTATGGGCTACATTATGCTTGGGCCTTTGAATGTAATTCAAGCCTAGAATGTCAATCCTTCCTATTCATTTTTAAGCAGTCTTTGTTTATTGTTATTTTATTTGTACACTGTAAAATGATATTTTACCCAATGTGGGAAAGGTAATGTACACCACCGTTAGCTTGGTATTTGTCTTTACACTCTCCAAGCTGGGACTGACTTCTTTGGCACTGACATTATAACATGTTATTAACACTATTTATAATGCATTATATTAACAATTCATAATGTATAATAAACATGGCTATAAAGTGTAATTCAGTGTAATTCTTTTTTATAATTATTTATAACCATGTTTATACTGCCTTATGAATACATTATGACATGTTATAAATGTGTTTATAAATGCTTACAAAGGTGACATTCATAGAAAGTGTTACCAAAGTATCTGTGCTAGTTACAAATAGGTTAGAGAGACAGAGGTGCTGAGCTCAGATACTGCTAGAAACAAAAGCCCTTGAAATAGAGTTAAACACAGTGCATTGCAATCCATTTCAATAAGTGCAGTACAATACATTACAATGAGTGCTTAACTCAGTGCTCACTTAAGAGACGTGTCTTCAGTCGGTGTTTGAAGACTGTGAGAGACAGCCAGTGGGAGTTCGTTCCACCACCTGGTTGCCAGTACAGAGAAAAGTCTTGATGCTTCCGTGTCTTCCGTGCATCTTGAAGGATGGCGGGTCAAGCCGAGCTGTACTCGAAAGCTCGAAGGGCTTGAGTTTTGACCATTGCCATTAGGTAGGAAGGGGCTGGTCTATTTTTGGCTTTGTAGGCGTCAGGGTTTTAAATCTGATGCAGCCACAGGAAGCCAGTGAAGGGAGCGCAGCGGTGGGGTGACGTGGCTGAACTCAGGAAGATTGAAGACAAGCCGTGCTGCTGCATTCTGGATGAGTTACAGGGGCTTGATGGCCGCATAGGAAGACGAGCCAAGAGCGAGTTGTGAAGCCTTGAGATGACAAGACAGTGAACAGTGGTTGGTCTAGTGTAGTGGGTAACACCTCTGCCTTCTACGCTGTAGACTGGGGTTTAATCCCCACCTGGGTAAGAACTCTACACTACCTTCGCCTACCTCTGTAAAATGGTTGAAGTCGCTCTGGATAAGAGCGTCTGCCAAATGCCGCAAGTGCAAGTATAACTAGCACCTGAGTGGCCTCTTGAGTGAGAAAGGGTCGAATCCTCTGGAGGTTGTGCAGGAGAAACCTGCATGACCGAGCTAGGTTTGCGATGTGAGCCGAGAACGATAACTGACCATCCAGAATCACACGAAGACTTCTGGCATCTTCAGAGGGAACAATCAGAGAGTTCTCGAATGAGATGGCAGATCATGATGAGTACCTGTGGTTGCAGGGACAAATAGCAGCTCAGCCTTGCTAGGATTGAGCTTCAGGTGGTGAACTGCCATCAATGAAGAGATGTCAGTCAGACATGTTTAGAGTTTTATTTTGTCAGTTTTTAAATGTGTGCACTGTGTCAGAACATTGTAAAACTATTTCTTATCGTGAAAAATGTCTTTACATATCATGAAACGGTAGTTTTGCCATGTTGCCCACCCCAATTTACACATTGCTAAAATATATTACATCAACACAGTGTTGTCTTTCAGTGCACTTGGTTTTGGCAGTGATTGTGTTGATGTAATATCGTTTATTTGGTTTATTTGTGTGGAAGCGATTTGAATAAAGTAAACTCAGTGCATCACTGTTTTCAGTGTAGTCAGTGTACAACTTGGTCCTATGGATAATCTGATTTAAACCACCTTGATCTTGGCGACAGCTGGAATAATTTCTCTCTTATATGATTTCCAGGGTGGATAGATGATAGATGAGCACTCTCATCCCCTCAGGATTTCTCTGTCGGTGAAGACTCGGCCTTTGAGGAGGACAAAGGATAGTCAGCCAGTCCTGATCACCTGATCACCACTATGTCAGCCCTAGACCCTTACCAGTACATCATCGTAAGTTCAAAGAAACTTTGCTTTTCTCGTATTAACCCACTTTTTAAAGACAACTGATGCATTTCTTATAATAAAAGGACAACTTGAACCCACAGTTCCTCACTTCAATGCTGTGATAAGCCAAATCCATAGGTGTCAAAAACCTGTAGAGGATCTGATGTCACTGCTGCTACTTTTTCATATAAATGTGAAATAGATATCACAGTTGCATCTGCATTATATCTGCTGTAGTATATTGTGTATATAAACTAGCATACAGCTCCGTAAATACGTAGAGAACTATACATAGCCGTAGCATGACTTGTTATATGACACGATTTGATGATCTAGATGTCTCTGTAACCCAAATAGCTGCGGATGTTTTTCATGTGGTCTTTGTGTTTACATCTATAAAGGAGACTGTGGCTTCTGGGGCATCACGATAGTCAAAGTAACATGAATTCTGTTTATATACAGCGTTCGTAATACAGTATGCCGTGAAATTTAGTTCGATTTTCAGTTGTGAAAAAATGACAGACATCGTGAAAAGTCTCACTGTGGTTTTAGCTAATGTTCAATTATGATGGTGCTCTGTGTAAAAAGCATGCATGACAGCCAGACAACTAAGGAAAAAACTTCTTCATCCTTCAGGCAAATCAATTACGCCTTCATTGTGTGTTAATTTTTTTTATCAGGCACTGTGGTCTTGTTTTAGTTGTTGGACTTTGACCAAAGAGCAATGTGACCTTGACCAATGCTGCATACGTTGCCAAAAACACTGTACATATCTTACTGTGGAATTTCTCACAGAGTTTACAGTGGTTGCACCATAAAAAAGATTCGGAGTTCTAACTTAAAATAGCAAGGTTATCAGACATCAAATAGTGAGTTAACAGAGCAATAAGGTGTGTCTGTGTCTTGATTCAGCTGAAGTTTAATTAAATTAAAAATTTAAAGCAGCCTGGTTACAAAGCTGAATGTAAAACATGAAATTGCTCTGCCACACACACATATCGCTGTTGTCAGACCAAAACCACGTATCTCCATTTTTGTCTCTCCGTTTTTCAGTTATTGACATAATTTGAAAATATCTACTGTGCTTTATATTGTTATATTACACACACACATATATTTTTATACACACACACATATACATGTATATATTTGTGTATGCTATATACACATATGAAATATATAATTTGTGTATATATATATATATATATATATATATATATATATAATTATTGCTGTTGTTGGAAGAAAACCTTGTATCTCCAAAATGGTAACTTTACAAGAGAAGGAAAAAACATACTTTGCTTTTAATATAAGTCAATGGAACCAGAGTTTTCTACAAGTCTTTTTGGGCCGTTTCTTTTGGTCCATTCATCATGAAATTTACATACAATGTAAAGATCCACACGCATTTTCAAATTATGTCAAAAACTGAAAAAAGACAAAAATGAAGATACAAGGTTTTGGTCGGACAGCAGCGATATATAAGTATACATTTATGTATTATATGTATATATTGGATATATATATATATATATATATATATATTTATAATATATATATATATATATTATTTATTTATATGTACAATACATAATATATAATAATATGTTTGTGGCCTATTCTGATTAATTCAATTTGCGATACCTCCTTCAAACTCTTACAAAAACAGTTGAGTGCTTAGACCTTAGATATTTACAGGGATTATGTTATGATCTATTTAAACCTAAGGTATTAATTGAGATAGTAAAAACCTAATACATGCAAAACTATCATTACACCATGGGGCACTTTCTATTGGGATTTTGCTGTCCCAAACCCTAAACCCTTAAATTTCAACTTGTGAAAATAAGACTTACATTTTTTTTGTATTTTTTCAATGTTTATTAAAAGATCTTAAAAGATTTAGATGTTCTTAGTTTTAAAAAAAGTATATTCAAAAATTGCTGTCCCATGTTTTCATGTCACGACCGAAACACAGAAGGCATGTCTCAAAGCTAAGGATGCAGCCGAGGAAGGCGGCATTTCTCGACCATTATTTCACTGAAGGCTGTTCCGTTTTGTAGGATCCCTTCAATCGAGAAATGCGTCTTTCGTTTGTTAGAAATTGAAGGACGCAGCTGGTGTTTCCTTCGAGAGCTTCATCTCCCACAATCCTTCACGAACAGCTCAAAACAGTTTAAATAATGGTGGACACAGCCGCGAGTGGCAGGATGCTGCCGGAGTTATAAAATGTTATGTAAAATTGAATTTAACATTTTAAAAACATTAGATTTAAATGTATTGCCTTGCTTACGTCAGTCAGCTGTGATGTTGCAGTACAGCCTGCATCTCGAAGAAGAGGAGCCTTTGTACACCAGTGATAGGACAGTCTCTCCTACCCAAGCCTTATTTTTTTGTGTATCTACCAAAACAGTCATTACCGACACATTTGGCAGTGTTGTGATTGTTTTGATAATGGCAAAATGGAGTGTTCAGTCATTGATTTGAATAAGGTAAACATAACTAAGACATAGGATCACTAAAAGCAACATGATTTTAGTCTGAAATCTATGGTCCATGTCAGATAAAGATCCAAAATGGGTTTTGAACTCTGAATTCAATGATCCATCTGAGCCATATAGCTTGTTTGCTGGTCTGTGTGCCAGTAAACCATTTGGACGCCACTGGGAACCAAAAGCATCTGAGTGTGAGTTGAACCTCATGAGGTGAATGCTTATATAAACTCAATGTGCTTTATGAAATCGGAGGCTGGAAATGACACCGTACGAGTGATATTCATGCTGCTAGTTAGACTCCCAAACAGTAGCTGATGCGTGAGAAAGTGTTAGATGTGTGTTCACACTTGCTTCTCATTCTTGTAAATAAGCCCGCTGTAACCCCGCCTCCATGCACTAATCCTTATTACTGTTCTCAGAGTTACTGTTGGGCTGATCTGCCGCCCTTTGAATAATTAGCACAGTGTCAGGATGGAATATCGTCTGTTTGAAGTACACTCAGTTCTTGTAAGTGCAAAGTTCTTTCTTTTATGTTGCGCATTAACCCTTGTGTACAAACATACACACACACATACAGACACACACACACTAACAGCAGGCCATGCAGGAGGAGAACAGAGTGAAGGACACAGCACCTCCACACTTTTACTCCCCGCAGGGTTATCAGATAAATGTGTACAACTGCCACAATGGCAGTGGAGTTAAACACGGTAAAAACGCTTCTATAAATGTTGACTTGCACTCTCATATACGAAGATGAAAACTCAGTCAGGGTTCAGTTTTATAACTCATTCTATTCTTCCGTCAGAGTATATTCATCAACATTACTGAAGAAGAAAAATTCAAGGTTTTTCTGAGGAATCTCAGTGTGAAAATAGCATGAACAGGGTGGTCCAACATCACATCTGTGTTTACAAGTAGAAAAGCAGATATTTTATGAAAAATCCTTAATATTATTGGCATGTTTCATTGGCATCGTCATGGGTTGGCGTCAAAACAAACCGAGAGAACTCAAAAGTGGAGCTGGCACGGAATGTAAATCGAATGGAAACGTAATTCATTATATTACTAACTATTACGCATTATGCACTCATTTTAAATAGGAAAAAGATAATAACTACACTTCTAAGGGTTAAGAGCTGGGTAAGCTGAGCAGACTTAAACTGCTGTTAACTCAGAAACTTGGATTAACGTTCTAAGACTAACGTGGTGCTTTACGGCAGTACGTAGTAAATAAAGGTGTTCACAGAATCACTGATGTAGATTCTTTACTACATGAAGACTACGACTCTTTTAACATCTGTTAAATGTTTTATTTTTTCGGTTTTCATTCTCTGCTCCTCTTTGTGTGTTTCTGTTTTTAAGGTAGAGCAGCAGTACTCTCATAAATTCAAAGTGAAAGTGCTACGGGCAGAAAATGTCACCAAAGGAGCTCTGGGTGACTTGTGTAAGTTGTGAAACATGTTTTTTCTGTGGTATCGATAATGTTTCACCACATCAAAAGATCTGCTCCCACATGCTCATCATCCCCCAAATATGGAGATGCACATTTATCTGTAAGAGGACGAGAGCTTAAAGGAACAGCGCAGCAAAACATCAAGTTTACTCCGTTTTCCCCAGAAACAGTCAATCAGTCAAGACATGCTTAGTGTCCCAAGGTTGCCTCATCTGATTAGTGAGCTCAGCTACTTTAAGGTGTAGCCGTTGCTGATACAGGCTTTCAGTTGCATGCAGCTTGCATTTTAAAGCCCCCCAGCATTGCACTGTGGGCCAGTGAAACTATGGAACCGTGTTCTCTGAAGCGAAGGAGCTTCGTCCAGTACCGTCAGGATGAGCTGGAGTGGACTTTGTGATCCAGAACTAATCATCCAACATCAGTAGCTGACCTCATTAATGATCTTGTGGCTGAATGCAATCAAATCTGCACGGCAATGTTCCAACATCTAGTGTCATCAACATCATCTTTCCTGTTAATACCCTTGATTTCAGAAGAAACGGTGAATGTCAGCAAACTGGGGTGAATGAGGCTAATGTAACTAAGAAGTAATGTAAGCTTATACCCCATCAATTATCGTTGCACAATCTGCATGCCTATATCATCACACATCCTCCTCAGAGTTCATCAAGATGTTAAGTGATCTCAAATAGACTTTCGTATGTGGTTCCTGACACTGCGTGACACTTTTACGTGCTCTGAAAATAGAAAACTGTTGATGGGCTTATTATTAGCTATGTTAGCTTTATTGCTGTACTGTGAAACTAAAGAACTGAAGGACTTTGTTTACCAAACATGTCTTGGCTGATGTTTTGGGGTGAAGGGAGATCTTTTGCTGACCTATTCTTTTAGCTAGTGCGTTAGTAGAACAGATCTCATGTAGCTGAACAGAGCATGAAAAAGCCTGTCTGTCCATTCACTGCATATGTTTGTGTTTGTAGTGGACACTCCAGACCCCTATGTGGAACTGTTCATTCCTACGGCTCCTGAGAGCAGGAAGAGAACCCGGCACATAGATAATGACATTAACCCAGAGTGGAATGAGAGCTTTGAATTCATACTGGACCCCAACCAGGACAACGTTCTGGAGGTAGCCGTTAATGTTTTTTTCATGTTGTAGATTCATTTTCATCCATTTCATCCATCCAATTTCTGTAATTCATACTGGTGTTATGGAATGTTTTCAGTTGACTTTGATGGACGCTAATTATGTGATGGACGAGACACTGGGGTCGGCATCGTACAACGTTTCCAAACTCAAAGTGGGACAAACGGAACTGGTGCCGTTTCTCATAGGAAAGGTAAGAACCTTCACGAGCAGTGGAATCATTTTTCTTTCTTTCTCTCTTTCATTTTATTTCTTTTTCTTTTGTTCTTCCTTGCTTGCTTTCCTTCTTCCTTCATTGCATTTTTATGTGGGAATTGTTGTTGGCCAATGCCAATATCTAATATTTTTCATGTTTATATTTGCTGATGCCAATGTCAACATATATATACATATATATATCAGCTCCACTTACTATATAGGTGCACTTTGTAGTTCTGCAATTACAGACTGTAGGTCTGTAGGTCTGTGGGTCATTCTCAGCACTGCAGTAACACTGACGTGGTGGTGGTGTGTTAGTGTTGTGCTGGTACGAGTGGATCAGACACAGCAGTGCTGCTGGAGTTTTTAAACAGATGAGCTATCGTCTCTGACTTTACATCTACAAGGTGGACTGACAAGGTAGGAGTGTCTAATAGAGTGGACAGTGAGTGGAACTCCAGCAGCACTGCTGTGTCTGATCCACTCGTACCAGCACAACACACACCAACACACCACCACCATGTCAGTGTTACTGCAGTGCTTAGAATGATCCACCACCCAAATAGTACCTGCTCTGTGAGGGTCCATGGGGGTCCTGACCACTGAAGAACAGGGTAAAAGGGGGCTAACCAAGTATCAGAGAAACAGATGGACTACAGTCTGTAACTGTAGAACTACAAAGTGCACCTATATAGTAAGTGGAGCTGATAAAGTGGACAATGAGCATAGAAACAAGGAGGTGGTCATAATGTTATGCCTGATTGGTATATCGCTGTTGTCGGAAGAAAACCTCGTATCTCCAAAACTTTACAGAAGAAGGAAAAACATACTTTACCTTTAATGTAAGTCAATAGAACCAGACACTTTTCCAAGTAATTTTGGGTCGTTTGTTTTGGTCCATTCATCATAAAATTCACACACAATGTAAAGTCCAACAGGCATTTTCAAATTATGTCAAAAACTGAAAAACTGACAAAAATGGAGATACGAGGTTTTCTTCAGACAACAGTCATATATATACACACAAATAAATGATTATGATTCACATCACACTAATAGTGAATCACCTGTGTTGTTCCTACAGGCAACCAATGTGTACCTAGAGCTGAGTCTGGAGGTGTGGTACGTGTCCCTGTGAACGTGACAGTTTTCAAAGCCCTGCTGGCTCACGTGGTGGAGTGCCAGTACAGTGTTTATTTTTGGTGTATGATTGGAATGCCATTGTAGTCATTAATTAAACAAAGAGGAGGAACCCCTCTTCACACCCCCACTGTGTTGTATGTTTTGGCGCCCATGGTAATGCTGCGTCATTACGGTTGGAATGTTTTGAATCTCAGACTAATCACAAACGCCAGCCTTGCAGGTCAGTGAGTGATGCCTGTGACGGATGTGACCAGCGCCTCTGTAAGTGTAGAGAAGTTCCACCCTGGGGCATTTCTCAGACTCAGCCAGTCTGACATCACTGACCTGTCAAGCTGATGACTGAGGTGGCACCATGAAATACTATTAGTTTATTAGTTAATAATAGGCAAAAAATCAGATTTTACCCAAAATGTAGTCAGTCAGCCAAGATATATTTCCAAAGTTTGCTTCTTTATTCTTGCATTGGAGCTACAAGGCTATGTACACTTGTCCATTTTTAGAGATAACAGGTACATCATGCATGTGGTGTGAGACAAATAAGGCTCAGGCATCCAGTTTGCACAGTGCTAATAGGTGAGGTATAAGTTTCCATGACGTATTTGCTAGATTAGCCTCATAGCTCAGGTGAAAAACTAAAGAAGCAACTTCAGACACTGAACATGTCTTGACTGATTAACCACATTTAGGGTAGAGGCGAAACTGTCACAGAACTATTCCTTTAGCATAATGAATAAGACAAATGACGGAATGTATTTGGATCATGCCTGTGAGTGATAGTACACAAACAGTAAGCAAGCTCTCATGTGAAAGCCAGCCACCATGTGTGTGTTATTTCTTATATATAAACCTCAATGGCCCTCTAGTCTAAACCCATCCCATATGAATAAGTAGTGCCATTTTCTCAATACCACAAGTGAAGCCCAGCGAGCCATAATAGGAGGCTGCTGCCTGATCTACAGGCCTGTCTATCAAAACACACATAACATTGCAACGGCCTGTACAATATATGTTGAAAAAAATCCCATCTCACTTGTGTGTGGTCTGTCTGTGACTATTCCCAGTTCTGCCATGGACTTGCGCTTCAGCCTGGCGCTGTGCGACAAGGAGAAGCTGTACAGGCAGAAGCGGAGAGAAAGAGTCATGCTGGGCATTAAGAAGCTGCTGGACATGGAGAAACCTCGCTTTCTGCCTTCTTCCCCCCACGAGGTACGGTGCACAGTAGACCTTGAGTTCTGCAGGGATGTCTAGTGACAAGAAAGTTTGACTTTGGAACTGAACAGACGTATCTGATTGGGATCCTTCAAACAAGTCCCATAGCTTTAGCTAAGACATGTTCATTGAAGAGCCTATATCTTGGATTTTCTTGCATCTTATTTTTCCCTGAAGTCCACTTACAACATTTGTGTGGCTTTTCTACAGTTTTACTATTTCTTGTCCCTTTAGAATCACAGTTTTTTTACAATTGCTTAAGCACAGTTTTGTGAGTTCAGACCATGCCTTCAACATGGTGGTGGTAGTATGAGGGAAGACTCGTTGAGGGAGGGGGGAGAACTTTGACAACTGGAGTTCTGGGTGGCTTCTGCCTGCAGCTAGAAGGCCAGACCCCCCTCATAGCTGTAGTGGGACTGATGTATGACTGAGGAACAGGGAAGAGATGGGGTGGCGGTGGCGGTGGCGATTGCGAACACTTCCTCACAGCAGTGGAAAGTGAGAATGTGAATTTGTGGGGAGTTCAGTTGGAAGAAGGAGGGGTTTCAGCCACGCTTCTCCCCCCAAACTTCAGCTATAACATAACTACATTTTGAAAACAGGGCTCATTTTGTCCAAACACTACACACAATCCACACAGCTGTGCTCAATATGAAACAAAATGGGCATATATTTTTCAAAAAGCAATAAAATTTCTCAGTTTTCAACATTTGATATGTTGTCTTTGTAGTATTTTCCTATAAAAATATGGTTTACATGATTTGCATATCATTGCATTCTATTTACTATTTATCTATATTTACTGCACAGCCTCCCAAGTTTTTTGGAAATGGGGTTGTACATGAATAACCAAATACCATCATTCAGTATATCTATTTCCCAGGGTTGCATTTTGCACTGAAATTTAGAACAGATTTGTATTTTAATAGAATACAGAACATAAACACAGCAAAAACATTTGTGGAGACAATAAAGACATAATAAAGAATAAAAAAAATTCACCTGTTTCCTTTAGTAATGGTTCTTCAAGGGTTCTTTAGTAAAGTAAATGGTTCTATATGGAAACATAATCACTCAAAGAACCTTTTTCATGATTAAATGGTTCTTTGCATTGTGAAAAGGTTCTTCAGATTGAGGGAGAATGTGTTGTGTGTGGTATTTGGTATATAGCACCAAAAAAGGGTTCTTCTATTGTGTTGATCTCAAGCTTGTTACAATAGAAGAAACTTAATAGTACACCCTCTGCTACCTCGGGTTCAGGAAGGACACTGGAGGCAGGGCTCAGTGTTGCAGCAGCTATTTTACTTTATTTTTTCACTCCAACACAAACAAAACAAACCAAACAACCAAAGCTGCGCTGGCCCACTTTTCAGTGGCTTCAGAACTATTTTCAGTCCTGTCTCGAACTAAGCTTTTTCAGCTCTTCGGTCTTTCCTGCCGCCCCTGCTGCTGCTCGTCCCTCCTCTCTCTGTTCCCTCACTCGCTCACGGTTCTCCTCTTCCCGCCGTCCTCGCGGGGCTTCATCCTCGCTCAGAGTTTGGGCCCTGCATTCCTGCCGGCTCTCGCGGCTGTCATCGGGGCCCGGGCGTTCTATGTAGAACCATCTAAAACACATTCTCCAGCAATCTAAAGAACGCTTTCATGATGTAAAGAACCCTTTAATTGTGCAAAGCGTTCTGTAAGTGTTCATGGTTCCAGAACACAACCATTTTCTTTACTAAAGAACCCTTGAAGAGCCATTGTAATAAAAACTGTAAACAGGCTTTTTTTGTTACTGCGCCTTTAAAACTGATATATGTAAATCATCTCTGTTCTGATTGGCTGCCCTGTTCTGTGCCACATCTAAAAAGCATTTCAGGCTGAAACATTCCCTATAACAGGGGTGCACAACTCCGGTCCTGGAGGGCTGATGTCCAGCACAGTTTGGTGATTTACCTGCTCCAACACACCTGATTACACTTATCTGTTAATTGCCAGGTTAAATGGGTGGGCTTGAGTAGGGAAACCTCCAAACTGTGCTGGACACTGGCCCTCCAGGACTGGAGCTGTGCACCCCTGCCCTGTAACTTCAATATGAACGTGCCAGACTGAAATGCTTTAGGCTGAATATGTGGAAATCATGACATCACAAAACCTTGGATTCAAAGCTGGCTAGTAGCCGTTTCCATATATGAAGTGTATGGTCTGGGGAGTAAATGGTACATTTTGAAACTGTGTTTACATACTAAATATACATACAAACTTTCATTTAAAAAGGCAGGAAAATTCAGTTTTCCATGAAACCCCATATGGAAAAGGAATGTAAAGTATTTGTATTTATCAAATAAATTTGAAAATATGTAAATATGGCCCAAAAAATGATTTTTGCTAAATGTATTGTAGTGTTTGAAATATATTTTTGAATGAAACAGTATATTTGAAATATGTTATATATATATAAAAATACATGCCTATGCATTTCTTTCCTGTATAGTACAGGCAGTCATATTAAGAGACATTCAAGAGAATTATGTTTGTCTTTTCATGCGCATGCCAGCTCAATTCATTCAAAAGACTTAATGAAAGAGATCCAAGACCTTTGCTTACATATACTAAATTTCAAATGAGACATACTTGTATGTTTACATTTGAATTCCCGCCTTGTTTTTTTAACACGCCCTATTGTGACTGTTTATGTGATATTATACACTATTAGTGCATTCCATTCTAAAGGCAGCTGCCTAATTAGTGACTGCCTTCAAAGTTACCTCTCTCGTCAGGCAGCATTTTAACTGGAAAGAAACCATGGTAGGCATCACATTCGGCACATTCTACAGAACCATCATACGTCATAACTTTTATGTGCTGTACGTATGATATATGTTTACTCGCAGTCACGCATTAGCCTACATTTACCTGCGACTGTGAAAGGTGTAGGCGGCACGGTGGTGCAGTGGGTAGCGCTGTCGCCTCGCAGCAAGAATGGCCTGGGTTCGATTCCCGGCTGGGCAACCAGGGTCATTTCTGTGTGGAGTTTGCATGTTCTCCCCGTGTCTGCATGGGTTTCTTCCGGTTGTCTGTCTGTCTGTCTGCCCTGCGATGGACAGGCGACCTGTCCAGGGTGTATCCTGCCTTCTGCCCAATGACAGCTGGGATAGGCTCCAGCAACCCAGAAGGATAAGCGGTTTAGATGATGTATGTAAAAGGTTGATTACCGCTTTAAGGAGGCGTATCTGCCATTATATACTGAAGTTAGTGCTTCAGTATCACAGATAATCATGACTGTTGGTTTGTGAGTCATTTCAGTTCACTCACTGTCCTTCACCACTTTAATGCTTAGTAATAAAATTGCTTATAATTTTGTAGAAAAGAAACTCCGAAAAACTCCGAAAAAAGAAACTCAGAAAAAAAATTGCATACAATCAGCTAAGAGGGCTAATATGCATTTTATAAAGTATTTTATGCCCATTTGTCTGATTTATTTAAACCTAGTTTGAAGTTTAGCTCTCAGAATTTTCCTGCACTGATATGACTGTGATAAGTATAGCAATACTAAGCAAATGAGCATTTACTGTGTTTCTAAAATCAAAGCTAGCAAGAGGTCTTTGAAATAAAGATAAGGTAATGTTCTCTTATCCAGATCATTACTCATTACTCACTTATTGTTTAGGCGGAATAAAGATAAGATAATGTTAGCATATCCAGATCATTACTCACGACTCACACTCACAGTTTTGGCGTAATGATCCGATAAAGCAGCATGACGTGATTTCCATTCCCAAACCCAATGAAAGAGCCAGTGTGTTTGCCACTTATTTTAACTTAATGTTATAAGCGCAGCCTGTCAGGTCACAACAGACAAGTTAAGTGCCTAAATTTAACCACAGGAACGATTTCCAGTGATCTACAAACTCAAATATGTGAAATATGTTATATAATACAGCAATCAAAACAGTCAAGACAGAAGACATGAAATAACTCACATTTGTAACCTCGTTGGTTGGCAGAAATGACCACATGTTTTTAAAATTGAAGCAATGGAAATGTTGGCCATTGAACAGCATTATGGGATTGCCTTCAGCGGGATGGACACATGCGAGTACACCTTCAAGTTTGGTCAATAAAAGATACCTTAGAAGACATGCTGTCTTTGGAATGGGACAGAGTCTGCCTTAAAATACTGCCTGATTGGACAGCTGCTTCCCGAGTGGGCCGCACCATATATGTCCAAATGTATCCAGACACCCTCTAATTAGGGAATTCAGCTAATATCAGATGATCCCATTGCTGACATGGACATTTAATTGTGCGCATACAGCTTGTATAACTGTATTGAAAAGAATTGTTAACAGGACCACTCTGGAGCAGCTGCACATGAGCCTAAGGTTACCATGCCTAATGCTGAGTGTCAGCTTGAGGAGTCTAAAGCCCCCCCCCCAGCGTTGGGCTGTGGAGCAGTGGAACTGTGTTCTCTGGAGTGATGGAGCTCCATCCAACACCTTTGGGATGAGTTGGATGAGTTGCAGTGGTGTTTACAGTCAAGAACTAATCATCCAACATCACTAATGCTCTTCTGACAGAATGCAATCAAATCCTCACAGCAATTTAGTATAAAACAGCATCTAGTATAAAGCCTTTACCTTAGCAAAGAGAGCAAACTCCATATTATTACCCTTGACTTCACAGGAAACGATAGATAAGCTGACAGTTTATGCTTTGGACCAGTTTGAACATGAACCCTCATTTTGTGTCCTAAATGGTTACATACTGTTCATTGCTCTCAACTGAGCCATGAAATAGTAAATATGTTATTGTTCAAACCTTATGAGCACTGTACATGATGTTAAGTAGCTGACCAAAACAAAGCTGTGAGCCCTTATTTATGCAAGGTGGCTGTGGCGCAATGGCTCACGTCCAGAAATGAAGCATTGCTGATGCAGACCTTGCTGGGTGTGTCAGATATCTGAGTTTTCTATGAAAGTTTCTGTAGTATTCTATCACGGTTCAGAAGACGCACCCCCATTCCCCTGTTTCTGGTGATAAAAAGAAAGTGTGGAGTGAGGAGGGTCGTTTAAGGATCAGTGTAGAATAGTGAACAGTAAAGCTTATGGCAGAATTGCATAGTCTTAAAAAAAACCTAAGGGAGTTTCTAAGAGAGTGAGATAAGCAGTTTCACAATCAGTGGCAATTCTTGGCACAGTTTTAGTGCTTACGCTGACCTATAAGGGAGTTGTTCTGTTTTCAGGATGCCTGCGGTAGCTGGGTTATGCAAGAGGTTGGATGTTTGGCCACCCAAAGGATGTTGTGAGGGTTAAGACCACTAACATTAGCAGATTTACACACTTGACCTTTACAAGGGTATAGAAACCTGCCTAGGCTGAGCTCTAGCTTTTACTATTTGAACGTATTGCGGTTGGCTCCTGTGCTCCGTCTGTGGGCACAAGGTTTAGGCTTTATATGTGATCAGATTTTCATTTACGTCACAACAATAGATGATGTGAACCCAGTAAAACAAATAACATACAGCCCCATTTCCAAAAAAGTTGGGACGCTGTGCAGAATGTAAATGAAAATAGGATGCAATGATGTGCAAATCATGTAAACCATATTTTTAAAGGAAAATACTACAAAGACAACATATCAAATGTTGAAACTGAGAAATTTTATGTTTTTTTTTGAAAAAGATATGCCCATTTTGAATTTGATGCCAACAACACGTTGCAAAAAAGCACGTTTACCACTGTGTTTCATCACCTCTTCTTTTAACAACACTCTGTAAGCGTTTGGGAACTGAGGAGACACTGCTGTAGTTTTGAAAGTGAAATGTTTTCCTGTTCTTGTTTGATACAGGATTTTAGCTGCTGAACAGTTCAGGGTCTCCTTTGTCATATTTTTTATTTCATAATGTGCCAAATGTTTTCAGTGGTGACAGGTCTGGACTGCAGGTAGGTTAGTTTAGCACCTGGACCCTTTAATACAGAGCAATGCTGTTGTAATACATGCAGAATGTGGTTTGACATTGTCTTGCTGAAATAATCAAGGCCTTCCCTAAAAAAGACGTCGTCTAGATGGCAGAATATGTTGCCAAAACATGTATATATCATTCAGCATTAATGGTGCCTTCACAGATGAGCACGTCACCCATGCCATGTGCACTAATGCCCCCCTATACCATCATGAATACTGGCTTTTGAACTGTACACTGATAACAAGCTGAGTGGTCTTTAGCCTGGAGGACACAGTGTCCATGATTTCCAAAAACAATTTCAAATGTTGATTCGTCGAACCACAGAACACTTTTCCACTTCGCCTCAGTCCATTTTGAATGAGCTCAGGCCCAGAGAAGGTGGCAGCATTTCTGGATCCTGTTTATGTACAGTTTCTTCTTTGCGTTTTAGAGTTTTAACTTGCATTTGTGGATGCAGCAACAAACTGTTTTCACAGACAGTGTTTTTCAGAAGTGTTTCTGAGCCCATGCAGTGATTTCCACTACAGAATCATGTCTGTTTTTAATGCAGTGCTGTCTGAGAGCCCAAAGATCACGGCCAGAAAATACTGGTTTTCGGCCGTGTCTCTTGCATACAGAGATTTCTCCAGATTCTCCGAATCTTTTAATGATATTATGTACTGTAGATGATGAAAAGCAAAAGTTCTTTGATATTTTATGTTGAGAAATGGTACTTTTGAACTGTTGCACTATTTGATCATGCAGTCTTTCACAGAGTGGTGAACCCCTCCTCATCTTTACTTCTGAAAGACTCCGCCTCTCTGAGATGCTTTTATAATATAAAAATTTTTCAGTTTCAACATTTAATATGTTGTCTTTATACTATTTTCAATTAACTATAGTGTTTTGCACATCACTGCATTTTGTTTTTATGTACTTTTTGTACAGCATCCCAACTTTTTTGGACATGGGGTTGTAAAAAATTATACAGTTTCTCATTTATTTATTGAACAAAGTGATCAAACTTTAAATATCTTTGTTGGCAAACATTTGTGAACCTGCTTTAAGTAACTATATGACCCCTTGGCAGCACTGACTTCCTGTTCCTAAGAGAAATAAAAATTGACACAAACGGAGATTCATGTTTTTCTTCGGACAGCGAAAATATGCTTTACTCCTGGAGTCATTCTTTTTAGATGACCACTCTTGGGAAAGGTAACACTGCCCGACAGTGGATCAGCGAAGTCCAGGGTTCACAAGCTTTCAAGCAGCACTATAGATAGAAGTTTTACAATGAGATGATTTATTCAAGTTCCAGATTCCAAATTCAGTTTTAAGTAAAAGGTTGTGTCACTGTGATCTCCAGATTGCCCACTTTGATATTTGGTTTCATGAGGACTTTGCAGTTCACTCTTATAACTTGGAAAATACACTTTTGTAGAGCTTTTGTGAGATTTTTTGAGCTTATTAAACTGCTTATTAATTGCTCAGCACTTTGGGACTTTTTGTCGAATTTGACAGGACAGCAGCCGCCCCTGACAGTTTACAGATCATTCTGACCTGATTCTGACTCACTTTGTGATACAGATATGTATCTGTCATGCCCCTCCTGTTTATGTACAGATGCACATGCCTTTGAACAAACTGCAGATTTCCGCACTCTTGGAGATGCGCAGTGCACTCTTGAGATGATTCTGTGTTTGAAGAGTAGCCGCGTGTGCATGTGTGTGTTATGCCTGTCAGAATTATCACCTTGTCATCTGAACCATTTGAGCTGGTCACAATTTTAATGACTCCAATTATTCTCCTCACTTGTTAGCTTTCATAGTTGTGTTAATCTTAAAATAAACAGAATGTGAACTGTTTTTTTTTTTAAATAGGTTGAGGAAAAAACATGTAAGCAGAAGCATTCTTATAAGCCTTAGAAAAACAACAAATATGCTTCACCTACAAAAAAAACTTGGGGCTGGTGTTGTAACACCTTTAGAGGGCAGCGGTGAGTGATGTTTGTTTATTTAATGTTTGTTAATAACACCTTTAGCGGGCATTAGTGAGTAATGTTTGTTTATTTGATGTTTGTTAATAACACCTTTAGAGGGCATTAGTGAGTAATGTTTGTTTATTTGATGTTTGTTAATAACACCTTTAGAGGGCGGCAGTGAGTAATGTTTGTTTATTTGATGTTTGTTAATAACAACTTTAGAGGGCGGCAGTGAGTAATGTTTGTTTATTTGATATTTGTTAATAACACCTTTAGAGGGCGGCAGTGAGTAACGTTTGTTTATTTGATATTTGTTAATAACACCTTTAGAGGGCGACAGTGAGTAACGTTTGTTTATTTGATAATTGTTAATAACACCTTTAGAGGGCGGCAGTGAGTAACGTTTGTTTATTTGATGTTTGTTAATAACACCTTTAGAGGGCGGCCGTGAGTAACGTTTGTTTATTTGATGTTTGTTAATAACACCTTTAGAGGGCGGCCGTGAGTAATGTTTGTTTATTTGATGTTTGTTAATAACACCTTTAGAGGGCAGCGGTGAGTAATGTTTGTTTATTTGATGTTTGTTAATAACACCTTTAGAGGGCGGCAGTGAGTGATGTTTGTTTATTTAATGTTTGTTAATAATACCTTTAGAGGGCAGCAGTGAGTGATGTTTGTTTATTTAATGTTTGTTAATAACACCTTTAGAGGGCAGCGGTGAGTAATGTTTGTTTATTTGATGTTTGTTAATAACACCTTTAGAGGGCAGCGGTGAGTAATGTTTGTTTATTTGATGTTTGTTAATAACACCTTTAGAGGGCGGCAGTGAGTGATGTTTGTTTATTTAATGTTTGTTAATAACACCTTTAGAGGGCGGCAGATAAAACAAGAATAAGGAACGAGAGCATTAGGGTAGGACTGGCAAAGATCAGATCACCCTTACATTCCTGAATCAAAGGATATCTTAGCTTTATGCTCATTCATGGGCACAGTCAATTTCTGATGCCCCACAGTGTCCCATTATATTGACAATGCATTTCTATGGACAGTATACAAGCTGGGTGTGTTTAGTTGAACACCTGTGTCATTAGGGTGTCTGGATACCATTAGAAAGAAGAAAGATAGAGACGGGTTGTGGGGGAAACAATCTAGGAAACAATACTCCTCTGCAGAATCAACCTGGCAGCCTGACCAGCCTGGTGCTATTACTGTGCCACAGCTTTAGCTTAGCCAGGCACTTGAAACTGGTCAAAGGCCTCCCCTCTTCTGCCCTCTACAAGCCTCCACCTAAACCAGACCACACTCTGTTTGTATGGATAGTTCAAGTTAAAGTCTGATTCAAAAGAGTCTGATTCAAAAGAGTCAAAAGATTCAATTATATTTAGTAGATATTTTTTGGAATAATATCACAATTTAACAGCTTTCTTAGTATTTCATTGTTGGGTTTACATGAATTAATTAATATTTTAGGAAGTTAACCATTATTAGTAATATCCTTAGTTTAAAAAGTGTATTATTTGTTCAGTAACACTATTCAGTACACTATTTACAGTGCATGCTGAAGAAATGCACTGTCTCACTTGACGTGTGTTGTCGTGTGAGACTTGCAGTCAGAAATAGCCAAAAGGAAGTATCGTCAGAACTCGAAAGTCATGAAGCTAACATCCAGGAAGTGATGTAATGTGAATATGTGTCTGCGCAGGTTCCTGTGATCGCCGTAGTAGGATCAGGCGGTGGCTTCAGAGCGATGGTCGCGTTCTCAGGGGTCATGAAGGCTCTGTATGAGTCGGGAGTTCTGGACTGTGCCACTTACGTCGCCGGTCTCTCTGGATCCACCTGGTACGCTGACGTTGCACCTCAGTCCACTGTATTGATGTCTTACACCAGAAAAGATCTTGTTAAAGGAAGAATCTCTTCTGACCGTGAAATTAAGTGCACACAGGATGACACAAGTCTACATGTTGTCCATCAGTCCATCTGTCCAGTTAAGTAGCCCTCTCTCCCTTGTGATTCCATAGGCCTGTGACAACATTCTCCCTCCCTCTCTGCCAGGTATATGTCCACGTTGTACTCTCACTCCGAGTTCCCCAAGCAGGGTCCAGAGCAGATCAACAAGGAGCTGATGAAGAGTGTGAGCAGCAGCCCTCTCCGACTGCTCCTGCCCCAGCACATCACCAACTACGTACAGGCTCTGTGGAGCAAAAAGGCCGGAGGACAACCCGTCACATTCACTGACATCTTTGGCATGCTGATCGGAGAGACTCTCATTCCCGCTGTATGTATGAAGTTGACAGTTACAGTTGAATATCTGTAATCCCAAATCAAGGATTCAGTAAATGTGTTTCTTGAAGTCCTTGGAAAACATTGTAAAATTTGACATTTGTTTGTATTGCACTAATTTTTAGTGTTATATAATCATTCAGCAAAGTTTGAATGAAAAAAAAAAACATAATAATACACAGCTTGCAAGAAAAACTGATGATCAGACCTGTCCCAATATTCCAATGAGCCCACGTGATTGACATCTCTCAGCCTGCTTCACGGCTGAAGCAGAACTAAACACAGCAGCACAAGATGAGGGAGAAATGAGTGAAACAGGCTCTATGTATGCAGGTCGTGTTGTGTTTGCTGTGTCCGTAACACATTAAACGCATTATCTAGCTTTCATATGGCAACATCTTAAAGAAGGGAAGGTTCTTATTCACTTTACTGCTTTGTGTGGATCAATTCTGGCGATAACACACGACCTAAAGTGTTCTATTGCTTTTATACAACAGTTAAATAAATAAAGTAAGAAATTAATAAACTGGGCCGTGAACGCGGCGTTTAATATGTTTTAATGTTCGCAGTTCCTTCACCACATTATAATTCCTTAACAAGCAGCTTGTTGCTACGTCAGAGTAACGAACTCCGCCCACTTGCTGTTCAGTCTGCTGCAAGCCTCGCCTTTTGAAGTACAGACTGAGACATAAAACTGCCGCAATATCAGCTCAGTTTTGTCAACTTTTTCCAGATCAGTATTAATGTTGTTTTGTTCCAGCCAGTCTGTAAAGCATCTTACAGCCCATTTAGTTTGGCAAATGGTGTTGGGTTCATTTCTGGCTGATTCCAGGTTGTTTAGCTGTTCTTCTGTCACAGCTGCCGACTGAAAAGCTCCTCAGTGGTGATGACAGTTTGGGAATTTAGTGTCGTCTCATCTTCAGAGTCTGACCAAATCGGCTGTCGGTCAAATGTGATCTTAAAAGTGTCCATTTTCTGTTTGTGGCAAATTAAGAAGTAAAAACGTTCAAATGGCTTGAGCATCTGCTACAGCTGTCAAAGTCGTTGCTTAGCAACAGCGTCTCAGCGGAGTGATACAGTGTTTGTTAGAACGCTTATTGACCAGTCAGCTTGCGTGGCCGGAACTAACTGTTGTATAAAGCTTGATAGCTCAGTTATGTTTGTTAGGTTAGTTTTCTTATGGTCATTAACTTTGGTGTGGTATATTTCTTAGACATGAATACACAGAGAACATAAAGGGACACAGTTTTTTTTAACCCACATCAGCCTTGTGATTGATTAGCACTGAGATTAGATTAGCAATGCCCAGTTTACATCATGTGAGAAGAATTTTGGCATAATATATTGGCCGTTTAATGGGCGTCGGAAGGTTATTCACAACACATACTTTGTACAAGTGCATGATGTGCCCACAAGAGCAAGATTAACCTACATAACAAGAAAGCACAGACTTAGGTTGCTTGGGGCTTTAACCCCTTAAGCCTTATGGCCCCATATGTAGGCCCACACTTCAACTGCATAGTCTAATACACTGTATGAATTTTACTGCTTTAACCCCTTAAAATCTTAAGCTTATTACATACTTATTGTTCAGTAACTACAGGAACTTCAGTGCGAACTGGTTGAGCTATTCTCAGGTTATAGAAGTGTGTAATAACACTTTGGGCTTAGCAGTGGGTTCTGAGTTTAAGGTGCTCCCATTGCTGTCACAGGCACTGTCAAAGAAATGGGATATTATGGAGTAGCTGCAAATGAGCCTAAGGTCACCATGCCCAATGCCAAGCATCAGCTAGAGGGGTATAAAGCCCCCCCCCTCCCCAGCATTGGGGTGAGGAGAAGTGAATCTGCATTCTCCAGAAGGATAGAGATCTATCCATTTGGATGAGTGGAGTTTCTTATCCAGATCTAACCATCCAGCATCAGTAGCTGACCTCACTAATGCCCTTGTGGCTGAGTGCAATCGAATTCTCACAGCAATGTTCACACATCTAGTGTAAAGCCTTACCAGAAGAGTAGAGGCTTTTACTGCAGTAAAGGGGACAAACTCTCTATTGATGCCCTTGATTTCAAAAGAAACGTTAAATGTCTACAAACATTTGGACACAGTGTACTTTACATTTTAGTTTCCTAGTAGTCAGTAAATGAACCATAGTAGCTGCTCTTAAGATTTATAGCCAATTTTGCAGTTCAGTATGAGTCTCAATGTGTGGTGATGTCTGCCTCTGCTTGTTTCTATACAGAGAATGGACACTAAGTTGAGTGAGCTGCAGGAGAAGATAAATGAGGCACAGTCTCCGATGCCTCTCTTCACCTGTCTGCATGTCAAACCAGATGTATCTGAGCTTATGTTCGCTGGTAAGCACGTATGTGTGTCTGAGGGTGAGGGTTATTGCTTGGTATGCAAACAGCAGGTATTTAACATGCCTTTGTCTTCGCCTTGTGGATTTGAGGAGCGGTTGTAAACAAGCGCACATTCTGGGACTGACCATGAATAAATGGCTGATTTCATGGACACATAGGTGTGAATGCAGGTGTAATTATTAGAAATGGCACAATACGTCTTTTTCTGATACTGATATTGAAATGTCAGTCAAATAATTCTTTTTTTTAAAAAGAGTGTGTGATATTTCTGACTAGAATTGGATCAGATTCATTCTCTTTTTCTCTTTGATATCCGATTTTCTGATGATATTGACCTGATACTGATATCAACATTGATATATTTTCACAAAAACATGACTAATAAATCTATATATTATAGATCATTAAAGAAAATATTTAATATTTTACAACATTTGAAATTTTAGAACATATTTGGTATATCCATTATGGTACAATAGAAAACTTTCATATATAGGTGCACTTTGTAGTTCTACAATTACAGACTGTAGTCCATCTGTTTCTCTGCATACTTTGCAGTGCTGAGAATGATCCACCACCTAAATAGTACTTGCTCTGTGAGGGTCCATGGGGGTCCTGACCACTGAAGAACAGGGTAAAAGGGGGCTAACAAAGTATCAGAGAAACAGATGGACTACAGTCTGTAACTGTAGAACTACAAAGTGCACCTATGTAGTAAGTGGAGCTGATAAAATGGACAATGAGCATAGAAACAAGTCATAATGTTATGCCTGATCGGTGTACATATATATATATATACATATATAAAATCGCTGTTGTCAGAAGAAAAAGGGAAAAACCTACTTTACTTTTAATGTAAGTCAATGGAATCAGATTTTTTTCCCAAGTAATTTTGGGCCGCTTCTTTTGGTCCATTCTTCATGAAATTTACGCACAATGTAAAGGGCAACAAGCATTTTCAAATTATGTCAAAAACTGAAAAATGGAGATATGAGGCATATGTGTGTGTATATATATATATATATATATATATATATATATGTTCTGAATAAATAATGATTTTATTTATGACACTTTGCCCTTCTGAACTGCAAAGACTGAACCAGCAACGTTCCAGCGGCACTTAATCTCAAATAAATCAATGAAGGGATACCTGAAGGGATCACTCAGTGAAATATGTGAACCACCCAGTTGTTCTTTTTTTAGTCCATTGTTATTTTTAAAGCCCTGAAGAAAAGCACAGCTCTGTGTGCAGGTGCCTCTGTTATTCAATATGGGCATCAGACATTCTTCTACAAAAGCACTACGTCAGTGGAGTTCCGCTGCATTAAAAGCACTGGAAAGTGAATGGACACTTAAACTAGTGGCCTAGTTATCAGCTTAGGTACATGGTTTACGTGTACTAATGAAGATGCTTTTGCTGAGCCAAATGTTATGCAGACTGTTGGTTACATTTAAGTTAGCATAATTTATATGCATAAAATTGATATGTACATATATAATTGATGTGTACATATATAAGATATACATCAGTGCTGGAATCAATGTTGTTTTCACATTTATTTTGTTAGTTAAAACAAAAAGGAATATATTTGTATATTTGAATTTTTAACTCACTTGAGACTAAAGACTAAAATCCTTTTGCATTTAATGACCTTTTACTTTTCATTTTAGCTAATTTCGACTCTAACCAGCACGGTAGCCAGTACATGACTAGCAGGCACAGCTTTGAACAGTTGTACACACAGAAAATCATAATATATTGCAATAAAACACAAAAAGTTACTTAATTGTAGAAAATATGTAGTGACGATTCTTAAGGTGACACACTGATTTTCAGACGTTGGGACACATTTACTTCAAAACAATGAGATCTAACTGCTCACCTGGTGGCCATGAGGGACAGAGATGCAATCTCACTTCCTGCTCTAACATAACGTTCTGCCTATGGGCATGAAAACATGGGTTGTATATATTGTATATATTTAGCTTATTACTATCTGAGTTAATGCCTTGCTTGCAGAATGTAAAGTAAAGACAAAGACACAAATACATTTACACTATTGCATTTGTGATATTTTATTCCACCACTGTGCTATTATTGCAGTTTGTTCCCTCACTGGTTCTAAAATTTACCACTAGAAACCTTCACTTTGTAACATCACCACACTACACTACAGTAAAGCTAATTTACAAGCTAATTTCTGCTAGCATTCTATTAGATATGCAGTGTTAAGTTAGTACCAAGCTAACGGTGGTGTACATTGACCTTCTCATGTTGGGCACCACTAGTTTAACCTCATTGCAGTACATTGCAGTGTTTCAGTAAATCCTTTAGTAAATACTTCAACTTAACCCTTTGATGTCCTGCTCAATCACTTGATAGAGCACATTTTGAGTCACTATATATTTTCTGATTTTTCCACAAAATGTCACCTCGACAGTTTGGTAGACGTGAGTATTTAAAAACTGTGGGGTCGAAAACCCCAAACAAATAAAAATACCAAAAAAAAATCTTTGCTTTTTTTCTTGGTGAGGACATTAAACGGTTAAAGCCTCACTCGTAATATTGGAGGAGCCTTTAGTACAGTGTGCCTCACTTTACTAAGAGCGGCCAAATACATCTTACAAGCTCTCATAATGTGTTATTAACACTACTTATAATGCATTATGTTTTCTTGTGAGGACATTAAACAGTTAAAGCCTCACTCGTAATATTGGAGGAGGCTTTAGTACAGTAAGAGCGGACAAACACAGCTTACAAGCTCTCATAATGTGTTATTAACACTACTTATAATGCATTATGTTTTCTTGGTGAGGACATTAAACAGTTAAAGCCTCACTCGTAATATTGGAGGAGGCTTTAGTACAGTAAGAGCGGACAAATACAGCTTACAAGCTCTCATAATGTGTCATTAACACTACTTACAATGCATTATGTTAACAATTCATAATACACAATAATCATGGCTGTAAAGTGTAATGAAGTTTAATAAATATGTATAGCCATGTTTGTGGTGCCTTGTGAATGCATTATAACGTTTTTATGAATGTGTTTATAGGTTCTCATATACATGACATTCCTAGAAACTCTTACCACGAGGCCTAAGGTTTTAGTGGCTGTCAGAAGGGAAAGACTTGTTCATCAAAGCACTGTTTGTTTTCAAAAGCATCTTCACACAATAACCCATGTCTTTCTGACAATAAACTAGTTACTCCATAGAAAACATCAAACAGTAGCATGATCTGCCCTCTCAGGGCCTAAAAGCCCTTTTCTTACCAGTCACTCCATTCACAATGCTGTACAGTACCGGAATGTGCAAATATACTTTAGGCCTTTGTTACATACTCATGTAATTGCAGTAGCCCAGGTATGACATACTTTCTGTGTCCTCTTCATAGGCAGGGCCACGACCTTTGTGGACACCAAGACTTATTGTGTAGCAGTGTACTAAACGAGGGCTTGTTTTGCTGTGTTTTGATTGACAGACTGGGTGGAGTTCAGCCCCTATGAGATTGGCATGGCTAAATATGGCACATTCATGACCCCTGACCTTTTTGGGAGCAAGTTCTTCATGGGAACTGTAGTTAAGAAGTATGAGGAGAACCCTCTGCATTTCTTAATGGGTAAGCTGTCACACCTTTTCTCAGGTAACTTGTTACAGGAACGGAAAACACTTTCCTTTGCAAACAAAAACAGCAACGTGAAACAAGAGGTGAGGGTATTTAGAAAGGAAAGATGATAACACTACTGAGAATTCTCCAGCTGAGCACACACCCCCTGTGTAGAAGGGAGTTTATAGTAAACGCTGGTCAACCGTGGTGCATTTGTGTGGTCAGCCCCCAGTTCCATGAGGGACGAGAAGTTTAAACAAAGCAAACCTCCTCCCCAAACATGCTCGTGGGATAAAGACATGCCTGGGTTTGGAATGAATAGGAGTCTGAGCTGATTCCATCCATTCATTTAGATTAAGAGGCAGTCAATGCTCAGAAGTTACGTTCCTGCAAACATAATAATCTTCCAGCATTTAGTCTTGAGGAGAAATGTGTTTATTAAAGGGACATTTCTGAATAGTTAAATGGTTAAGATGTAAACAAAGAGTGGTCTGATGTAAATTGCTCTCTTCTAGAGAAACTCGACTTGGGCCGTATTACATAAACTTCCTATCTTTTTGTCTTAAGTTCAGTTCTTAAAGGTCAAGATAAGATTTTTCACAAATTCGTATTTCAGAAGCAAATCTGATCTTGATTCAGGAATCTTATCTTATCTTACAGCATCGTTTCTTATCTCAGGTTAGGAAATCTTAACTTACTTGATCGAAGTCGACAATCAACTGTCGTGTCTGTTACCTAGCAACCGACAGCTGAAACATAAACACGTAATCAAAGTAATCCTGCTAGTTAGCCAGACAGCTAACTACCGTTACTATAATACAAAAAAGGTCAAACAAAACTAAAGTGTGTTAAACTGAGAGTTAATAATGTTGTATCAGCGCCCCCTGCTGTTTATCAGAGCGTCGCCGCTCCAGTTTCAGTCTCCATTTCCCAAACGCTTTAGCCGAACGCGCTAATGTTACTCCTCCTAATAAACAGACACATGTTCAGCTCCGTCTCCTCATTATTCACCACCATCACTGTAATATTGTATCTGACGAGTTTTTATCAGACATTAACGCACAAAGGTAATCAGAGGGACGGTGGAGATTGTGTTTTTAAAAAACGCTGTTACAAAAAGGTCAAACCATCGTTCTCAGTGTAGATAAATGTAGCGCCACTATGCTACTTATAGTGAACTGTGCTTTCTGTCACTGCACAAAACAATAGAAACAGACGATTTAAACAGAAGGTCCGACGCTCTGGGGTTTATCTTAAAGTTAGGACGGTATTTAGAAAATTCTGTCTAGTTATGATGTTTCTGTAATACTGTTTTCTTATCTGGAGTTAATGATGAGATTATGAACTTAAGAACTGTTGTTGTGTAAGAGCTTCTGTCCTAAATTCAGTCCTAACTAAAGTTGTCATGGTGACCAAGCAGATAGGATGAGATTTCAGACTTGAGAAGTTTCTGTAATACGGCCCCAGATATCTGAAGCCATTATTGCCTGTAAAGGCTACATTATAGAAAGCTATTAAAAGAATGGTTGTAAATACATGGGCTAAGACCTTGTTATAGAACAGTTTTGAGAAAAAGTTTTAGGCCTAAATCTTTTCTTTTTTTTTAATTCATGCAGGATGGAGAGGTCAGATTCACCACTTTTTTACCGTTATAAGCATTACATACAAGAAGACACGTAGGTTCACTGGTCATAGTAAATAAAATGGCTTTATTTCAGTTGTAGACATCAGGACCCCTGGTTCCTATCACCACCACTGTAAAGGAAAGAGTGGTGACTATATTACACAATTATAAATGTTTACATCTCAACAATTGAATTATGCAGAAATTTTGAACACGGGAATTCCACTTTCAATAAATATTATATCTTTACCTGACCTGAAAAAAATACTTGGACTTAATCATGCAACACAACTCATAAGTGGAGTTGAGCATATATGGACGTTGCTGCCTCAACATAAAATGCAATTACTATTAATGTGGACAGTTAAAGTAAATCTGTAGAATGGTTCAAATACATTGCTTTTACAGTCTGTATATTAGGGATGCACCAATATGGCAATACTTGGCCGATGCCGATTTTCAGTCATTTTCATGTACATATCAGTCAATCCTTATATATTAACATTTATAAAAATGAAATTGGAAATAAATTCACCCAGTAAATATTATATATGCATTTTATAAATGCACTATTAGCATCACAGAGAAATAAACATTTATTTCTATAGTAAAAGTAATAAAATGCTGAAATTTCAGCGCAGTATCCCAGCCTCGCCTAAACGTTCTGCTCCTCCAGAGTACGTCATCAGATATCAGTTTAAAATATCAGCTAATTCTGAAAATGCTGGTAACATTAGATGAATTGTATATGCTATATCAGTATTATGATATTGTTGTGCATCCCTACTACACATACTTTGGCATAGTCCCTCTTAAATACACTCTTATACACACTAAAGCTAAAGTTCACCTCATGTTTGCTGGATAAGTGCACCTGGCTTACGTCCAGTGGTAGCTCTGAAAGCACCAGCTTAATGGTGATTATTCTGTAGTGCTACACTTTTCAGTTTATAAGTCAAACAATCCCCTTGGTTTATTTTTATAACCTATTCAACTCCTTGAGACCACCAGTGGTTCCAAAACACACTTCATCATATTCTTCATAACTTTCATATTTCATAAGCTACATTCAGATGGTGGGGGTCGTATGAGAGCTGTAACTGTCTTCTTTCCAGTCAGATAGAAGGGTGATGTATTTTTAAACCCTTATAATAAAAGAAGCTGAACTCACAATGTTTTGTTTACTGAAAGTCGACCCATTTTTCCACAAATCTGGGCTATAAACTATAAACAGATGGCGTCTCTTCAGTGATCTGCTCTGTAAACATTATTTTTATGAAATAATACAAAGAGCGTCTAAGATTTTTGGCTTTCAGCAGTAAATTGTAAGCATATAGCAATATGTGTGATCATAAAACACATGTTCTGTTAATTTGAGTAGAGCTTAAAATAAATAAATAAATAAATAAAATGAAAATTTACATTTATTTCATGCAGTTACTGAATAATTTGCCTTACGATTTGGTCATGTAAATTCAGACGGAAAAACCAAAATACACCCTGGTGAATAAGAGGTTAGTATGTATAGTTTAGATCTTTGGTTTGTGGTATTTGCAAACCACATGTATTTTTTTTTTTTTTCATTTTAAGCTTGTTTGAGCAAAAATACAAAAAGCAGAAGACTAGGTTGTCATTCATGTGGTAACTTAGACTATACATATATGTGTGTTCTTCAGGGGTGTGGGGCAGTGCCTTCTCCATCCTCTTCAACAGAGTGCTGGGGGTGAAGGACGTGCCTGGTGGAAGCACCATGGAGGAGGAGCTGGGTAAGAAGCAGGCGGATCTTCTCACAGTAACTCAAGTTTTCCTACCGACCAGACCAGGAGCAGTGTAACACTGCAACAAACTGGCGTCAGAGGTCACTGGACGTAATCGCCAAGTGTGTTTACTTAGGCTTTTCCAGGAAAGGTCGGCTCAGGTAGCAGTGTTAAAAAAGGAGAATCCAGAATCGTTACGCAAAAACACAAGCAGACCAGGTCAAAGACAGCGGTGTACTAGAGCTACCTGGAGAACACAGAAACACTAGAAAAAGGAGAACAAGGAAAATACGAACACGGCTTTCTGGTGTTCTATATGCAAGACGCACAGGAAATCAGCAGTACAGTTAATGTGCTGATAACAGGCAGGAAGACCGTGGTTGAGCAAAGCAGTCTGATATAAAATAAACAGTCAAAATACTTTCTAATCACTGCCATTTCCTGAAGCATAGAGTACATTGTCCCTTCCAGGACCTGCCAGCAGTCTGAACATGTGCTATATGTAATTTAGCAGTTCATATACTGGGAATAAAATAAGCCTGGAATTTTAAGGGGTTGCTAAATGAACAGTTTGGTAAAAAATGAATCATTAACAATCTAACAAAACTGAATGAAACAGTTATTTATAAATGCTTATAAATGCTAAATAAATGAATAACCATTAATAATTAGTCCAGCCCAGGCAGCCTATAAAATAAGATACAATATCAAATATATATTGCTAAACTGTTTTACGTTGAATATATGTTTATAATCTACAGGGTGATTCAAAAAGATTCATCCAATTTCAAAATTATTTATTTCACTTGTAAATCATCATCATCAATGCAGTGAACCGTAAATGGTTTAAATGAGCATAAAGTTTATTATGTAATTGTACGAGGTCTCAGTATGAACCTCCTCCAGCTGTACAGACAACATCAACACCATAGTCAAACTCATCCCATACTGGATTGAGCATGTCGGGTGTCGCTGCACTCACGGCTCTTTCAGAACGCTTTCTGCTCAGGGGTCTAATCTCCTCTCAGACTGAAGGGAGCCGTCTTCCACTGACAGTCAGAAACTCTATGACCCCCTCTTTCAATTGGTATGTGATTGGTTCCTAGGCGCCTCACGGTTGTGAGAATATGACGCTTTGAACCTTGTATTATAAGCCTTTTGAAACTGAATGGCTATTGTTTGCTTAAAAAAGATGCATGACAGTTGACAAATTCTTGTCATCGCATTACAGTTACTGACTTAAAGGTGAATTTCGCCCATTTATCCAGTGTTTCACCTAATTCAATCATTGGCCACGTTCACATTACCAGGTTGAAGTGGCCCAAATCCTATTTTCTGCCCTAATGTGACTCAGATCTGATGTTTTCAGGGCTGTGTGGACACAAATCTGATCTCTTCAAATCCAACCTGAGCCACTTTCATATGTGGTCCTAGATCGGATTCGTATCCGATTAGTGGACATGTGACCTTAATGTGACGCTCAGATCAGAATTCATGTGCTTTCATTCAGCGTTACCATGGCAGCAGCGCCGAACAGAAGTTAAAGCCTGTAAACGGTGGAAAAGCAGCTCATCTCACCTTTTTCTCCTTCGTCTCGCTCTAATAATGAAGCTGAGAGCTGATCAGAGTTAATTATCTTCTCAGCGAAGCTCGTTCTGCTCGTTAGTTTGTGCTGATGATGCTTGTGATTCATTCACGTGACGTTACTGAGTAGGATGAGCTCATGAGGGTCATTTCAGGACGCCGGTTCGTCACATTAATGACAGATTTGAATCACTTACCTAATCGAGTGTGAACCATCCTGTCAGAGAGATCGGATTTGAGCGAAAAATCGGATTCGATCGTTGAGGCTTGTAATGTGAATGGGGTCATAATGTCTACAACACAAGTATAGTCATTTTCTTAACTATCCAAAACAACCAGTGAACCTACGTGTGTCTTGTCTCAGGCAGCACATTCATAACAGTCTCATGTCATTACCTTCTGTGATGCGGCTTTTAGAGGCATTAAACTCTTCAGATGTCTGGTTCCTATCACCTCCACTGTGAACAATTCTGACTCGTTAAGATTCTCTAGAGTGGAGAATTTCACAGCAGACAACTCTGAATGACTTTGTTTACATCTCAACCATATTTTCACTGTAATTTGCGTTTGTGTGTGTGTGTGCTACCAACATTTGCTGACTGTGCGGCTTGGATGATGAATATAAGCGCAAACGCGTGGGCGGCAACGTAAACTCGGCAAACTATCTGTCAAAGCATCTAATCATGCTGACATGAAAGTGGTAGATAAAAGTCCCTGTGCTGAAGAAGAGAGATCCCCAACCTCGTCTATGCAAGCCAGACTGTATTTTCATTCAGAAACAGCTCTGTAAATTTTCTAGTGTCTAAATTTTCTACTTTCTAGTCTCTCGTTTTTAGCTTTTCAAACAGCATCAACAAAATTTAGAATTTTTCAAGCATGACTAGCTTGACTGGCCTTTTAAATGATGTTTACTGTAATTGGCTGTTTTGTTCTAAAACAAGAACTGAAAAGACTTTTCCATCTGGTACAGATTATTTTTGGGTTTTATAGAGTAAAGCAGAAGTAATGAGTAGTTAAATGACTTTTCTTGTCAGAAAGTGGTAGAGTAAGTCATTTCATTACAGTTTAAGAGAAGTGGTGAGTAATGTAGTACTTCATTTTGACCCCAACGTTCCTTTAACGTTCTGTTAAACGTTGTGGTGTTTGAATGTGTTACTAGAACAAATAGGGCAAAAGGAGAGGTATGAGGTGTACTTCCTGTCTGATGATTATCAGATTACTGAGCTGTTGTTTGATCATGTAGACTGTAAAAATAGTTCAGTGTTTAAAAAAAATGGACCTTGTTGCCTTAAACCTGAACTTCTAATGTAAAGTTAACAGAGTTTAAAGCATAGATTATTGTTCTGTTAACTTATTAATTGAAATTCACTTCAGTCAAAATGTTTATGTAACTGGGTTACTCACTTTTTTCACATTTCACTTTTCATTCACATCATTTGGATCATTTTTACAGTCTGCAGGCTTGTGTGGTATCCTAAAGCATCACCATTCGGTTCCTGTAACAGGAGCTAACGCATTCACAGACGACTCTGCCTTTTCTCGCACAGTCTAAAATTATGCAGGAGTCTGATAAGATCGTGATCTCTTTCGCTTTCTGTTGTGAGACGTCGAAAAGGGGCAGCATATGCACAAACCTAATGCTGTTTGCAGAAGCAAGATCGTATACTTCAACAGCATCACGCTGCATTTGACCAAAAATCTAGTGAGTAAATCTAATATTTCCCATTTTGAGGTGGTTGTAGGAATATGATAAGATTATATTATATATTAAGATTATATATTATATCTTTTTCTGGACATTTTTTACTTATTTTTATTAAACTTTTTAAGTGAAATTATCTTAATATATTGGCAGAAAATTATGCTTATTTTAAGAAATATGCTTCTGTACATCTGCCAATATATTGAGATCATTTTACCAAATAAAATGAATTAAGATACGTAAATAATATCTAGAAGAAATCCTGCAATCACATCACAAAATGAGAAGTATTAGATACAGGGTGATTTAAAAAGACTCATTTGATTTCAAAATGATTTATTTCACTTGTAAATCGTTACAGATCAATGCAGTGAACTGTAAATGGTTTAAATGAGCATAAAGTTTATTATGTAATTGTACAAGGTCTCAGTATGAACCTCCTCCAGCTGTACAGACAACATCAACACCATAGTCAAACTCATCCCATACTGGATTGAGCGTGTCGGGTGTCGCTGCACTCACGGCTCTTTCAGTGCGATTTCGGAGATCATCCAGTGTTGTGGAACCAACGACGAACGCTCTGAGCTGTTGGAGCTTCACTGACCACAAAAATCACACTGCACAGTTATGACGGATTCACTCTTATTGAAGTGGAGAACGCAGAACGCTTTCTGCTCAGGGGTCTCATCTCCTCTCAGACTGAAGGGAGCTGTCTTCTGGTGACAGTCAGAAACTCTATGACCCCCTCTTACATCTTGATTGGTTCCTAAGCACCTCACGGTTGTAAAAATATGGCGCTTTGAAATCGGATGAATCTTTTTGAATCACCCTGTATATCGACTAAATTTAAGCTGATTTCACTTGGTAAGATATTATTTTTTGCAGTGTTAGCAGTCGAACCTCTAAGTATTAGAATTTCTGTATTAAGGCCAATGAATATCACTCAACAGTGGTTGTGCTTGTTTGTCTCACAGAACAGATAAAGCCGCAGCATATCGTAGGGGAAGACAGCCTAGATGATGAAGAACCACGCAAAGGTAAGAAATTTCGCTACGCCTGCCACGACACTGTACTTGAGACAGGACGAGAAAAATCATGGCTTGGTTTGAGCGCTTTTCTCTAAACGTTCCCTTCCTAGCTGGAGTGGAGGATGACCATCGGCATGCTCAGGCCAGCTGGATACAGCGCATGGTCACCTCGCTGTTCAGCGACTCCAGCCTGTTCAACACGCGCGAGGGCCGAGCCGGAAAAGTGCACAACTTCATGCTGGGCCTCAACCTGAACGCTAGCATTCCCTACTCGCCTTTCACTGAGATCCTGACCCCAAACAGTCCTGAAGAGGAAGTAGACGCTGTCACAGGTTGGGGATTATGTCCAGCGCAATAAGCTCTTCTGATCTTAAATGGAACGGCTCACTCAGAAATACACTATGATTTTATTTTATTTTTTACAGTAATGTAGTAAACAGTAAATTAAAGCTGTTGAAGAACCAGTCAGCTATATGATTGGTACAATGCTAACTGGTCCCTGCTAGTTTTCATCTGTCAGTCATCATCCTTAAGCGTTAAGAATCCTTTTTTAAACATGCAGTTTGTTTGAAATAGTATTTGTTTGTAATAGTAATCTGGCATACTATACTTAAGTACTGTAGTTATTATAGTATTACAGTAATTACAGTAGTAATTTGATAGTGGCTTTTGTCTCCCCATCTATCTAACCTCTGTTTTTGGCCTCTCTCTCTCTCTGCTTTGTGAAAATGACTCAGACCCAGACGAGTTTGACCGCATCTATGAGCCGCTAGACGTGAAAAGCAAGAAAATCCATGTCGTGGACAGCGGCTTGACCTTTAACCTCCCCTATCCTTTGATTCTGAGACCTCAAAGAGGCGTTGACCTCATTATCTCCTTCGACTTCTCAGCCCGGCCCAGTGACTCAAGCCCCCCTTTTAAGGTTATTACGTACATGCACACGCATCAAAATATAAGATAAACACCTCAGACGCTGATTCACACACAGACACGCTATTAAAAATCTCTTTGAATAAAAAGATCAAATAGAAATAGATCCTAATAAAAGCCTAATAAGATTGCTCTTAATGTAAGGACCACACACTGAGTGAGGCACCTTTTAACAGCATCCCTTAAGCAGTGAACAGATAAGCTCTGTTGCTGGGGCTCATGTTCAGATCATAGCAGTGACCATGATCAGAGGTTAGTCCCTAAAAGCAGGGGTTCTTTACCTTTTGCACCCCAGGGCCCACCTGTTTATGACTATAAAGCATATCGGCCCACAGAAAAACTAAAATCAACTTTTTTTTAAATAGTTTTCTTTTTTTTCTTAATTCCTCAAACGGAAAACCTGTGAATTAAGGCCTGAAAATGATCAGATCATCCGTTTCACTTCAATCACAGAAACCAAAATTTGCAGTTATGTTAAAAAACATAACATTAAAAAAAAGCTTATATTTGAAGAGATGTCAAAAAAGTGTGCAAAAATAAAAAAGGACGGAGATTTGGAGCTGCAGTCCATCGCGATTTCACTGAAAATACTCTTGCGGCTCCCACAGGAGTCACTGTTTAGTCTGGAGTCTCGTTAGTTTTCAGGGTTTTAGGGCCTCATTTGAAATAAACCTCACTCCACTCAGTCAGCTTTTGGATCAGTCGTCACAGTCAACAGTGATGATAAACCTCACTTGATCTCTGCTTCTTTGTCATTCGTTTATCAAGTTGAGTTTAACTCTGGTCGCTGATGTTTGGCCAGAAATCAAACACAGATCTTCGCTGTTTTTTATCGGCTCGTCTGTCGTTTTTAGCAGCTGCAGCTCGGACTGCAGGAACGAAATGAAAGCAATAAGTCAGACGTTAAAACAGGCAGATTATACTATCACCATCTCCTCTCAGACTGAAGGGGGCCATCTTCCGGTGACAGTCAGAAACTCTATGACCCCCTCTTTCAATTGGTATGTGATTGGTTCCTAGGCGCCTCACGGTTGTAAAAATATGGCGCTTTGGAATCGGATGAATCTTTTTGAATCACCCTGTATCATACTAAAGTGAAAAATAAGATAAAAATATAAACTCTATCCTTCACAAAAATTAACAATATAATGGATTATTAATAAATAAAAGCAAAAATATTTACACTGTAAGGATATTTTACCCGAATTTCACATGGAGTTTTGCATGAGGTACAGATTTTTGTTACACATGGGATGGTGATATAAACATTATAAATAGAAAAGCAAAAAATCTTTACACTGTAGAGATATTTTACAGGTATTCCACATTGAATATTGATTATATTGCACACAGGAAATGGTGATGAATTCACAGTTTATGTTCTGTAGATGTGTGAAGTCTAGTGGGTTGTGGAGGAGGTTCTACTGGGAGCAAATGCTGGTTGTACAGTCTAACAGCAGCAGGAAGGAAGGACCTGCAATAGCCTCCTTCACAGACTTGGGGTGAATCAGCCTGTCAATGAAGGAGCTGCCCAGTGCTGCCAGAGTCTCAGTCATGTGGTGGGAGCTGTTCTCCAGCATGGATGATAGTCTGGCTAACATCCTCCTGTCTCCCACCACCTGCACTGGGTCTAGGGGGCTTCCCAGGACAGAGCTGGCCCTCTTAATGAGTCTGTCAGGTCTCTTCCTTCCTGTCCGCAGTTGAGATGCTGCTACCCCAGCAGACCATCCCCATACTACTATGAAACTAACAACTAATCTATTTCTTTAAAATAAACTAGCTTATCTACATTATGAGACTGAACAACTGAAGTGTGGGTCAACATACCGGCCTTTACAATGTAAGAAGTTAAGAGGGACAAATAGCTTTGTTGAGTCAAGAGCTCTTCAAGTGCTGTATTATTGCTCTTGGCAATGCTGTGTGATCAAAGCTGTTTTTCAAGTTCTGCATGTGTACAATCCCAGTGCACTTTGTGCCATTAAGAGATTGCAGAGCGCACTCTGGAAACGCATGTACAGAAAACTTGCGTCAAAAACAGATGTCAGATGACATCAGCAAAGAAGAAACACGTTCAATCATCCATCTAAACCGCTTATCCTTCTGGGTCGCGGTGGGGTGCTGGAGCCTATCCCAGCTGTCATTGGGCGGAAGGCAAGATACACCCTGGACAGGTCGCCAGTCCATCACAGGGTAGACAGACATACACATTCAGACCTAGGGGGCAATCCAGTATGTCCAATCAGCCTGACTGCATGTTTTTGGACTGTGGTAGGAAACCGGAGTACCCGGAGGAAACCGACGCAGACACAGGGAGAACAGACAAACTCCACACAGAAATGACCCTGGTCGCCCGGCCGGGAATCGAACCCAGACCATTCTTGCTGTGAGGCGACAGCGCTACCCACTATATTTAAATCTAATTTTGAAAATGTGTTTGTTTCTCTACAGGAGCTTTTGCTGGCGGAGAAATGGGCACGCATGAACAAGCTTCCATTCCCCAAAATTGACCCCAAAGTGTTTGACCGGGAAGGGATGAAAGAGTGCTACGTCTTTAAGCCCAGAAAGGGTGACAAGAACTGTCCCACTGTCATCCATTTTGTCTTGGTTAACATAGACTTCAGGAAGTTTAAAGCCCCAGGTAAGAGTGTGTGTATATAAGCAAATGTCAGTTAAGCCTTAAAATCCTGATCTTATTACATGTTAAGGCTTATTGTTTTGCATCTACATGGACTACAATGCAAACTGGCTGGTGTTAGGGTGCCTACACACTAGACAACGCCAAGGCGGAGCGGTAGACGCAGACGCATGCAGATCTTGTCCGTCTAGGAGGCCTGTACACGGCTGGAGTGGGGTGGAGTTTGTACAGTTCGAAATCCAGCGGAAAACAAAACATTTGGACCAGAAACAAAGAAATACAGGCCATCGAAAGAAAATGTTGGCGATGGCCAGGGTTGGGATAGCTACTGAAAAATTAGTAGTTTCCCAAAATTTGTAGCTGCTACAATTTAGCTACTTTTCAAGAAAGAGTAGTCGCTACTTTGTAGCTACTTTTTGAAAAGTAGTGCACTACTTTTTAGTTACTTTCAAAGCGCGACTGTGAGAATGTTTGTGAATCTCCACCTGACACACCAATCAAGCCCAACTGACAGTGTGAACAAGACACTGCATTTAGTCACATACCAGAAAGAAAAATACAATTAAAAAGCTGAAAATATACAAAAACATCATCAAAAAGTGCATTTAAGTGTAACCAACAGTAAAAACTTACACAACCAAAGACATGATATCCAACAAGAATATAGACTAAGTAACCTAAGTAACCTGGAAATCATTCCTAACAAAAATCTACAGAAATATCTGCATAAAAACCAAACCAAATTTTGTACACAGCACTGTCAACTGCTGAAATAAAACTGCTCCAATTGAAACACTTCAGCGAGATGTACAGTCGTGACATTCAGAGTCCTTTGTTAAACTTCAGTAACACTTCAGCCTCAAAACTCTCATCTTTGACCCTGGTTCTGTTTGGGGTGAGAATCAGGCCTGAATAATCTCTCCACTGCTGCAGAGCTGCTGCGGCTCCACAGCAGAACTAGATCTTTCGGTAAAATATCATAATAATCCTCCTTTACTGTAAAATCGTTATAACACACAGTTCTAACACAGTTTTCACAGTAAATGGTCTTAAACACTGGAGTTAACGCATAACTGCTAATTCACCAACCTTTAACACTGAAGACTGACGCGCAGACTGCTGGACACACAGCAACGCAAACAACGAAACGGCAAAGAGAAAGATTTAAGATGAACATCGATACTTTGGAGATGAATGGACTTATTTGCATTTATAAGCACTCAGCTGGTTTCCTCATATGTTTAATCTGCAACAACAAGTCGCTTCTCTTTCTCCAGCTTCTCGTTCGAATTGTCCCGTTCCAGCAGTACAATCTGGTGCCTGAAGCACCATTTAAGGTGGAACAGGACGATTCAAACGAGAAGCAGGAGAATGAGAAGCGACTTCAGCCTCGTAAAAAGTCGAACATTGAGAGACATTTTATAAGAAACTCGCGGAAAAGTTAGCTGACCTAAAGGTTAAAGCAGAGCAAGTAAGTGTTTTTGTTTATATTTTAGCCTGTACTAGGACATCAGCACATACTGAGACATACTTACAGCCAAGATGGTAAAACGGACATAAAGTGTTGTGGCTCAATGTGGTTTGCTTTTTGTTGAAAGGACAAAATGGCTCTTCTTAACATTTTGGTTGCGACCCCTGAGCTAAGCATACCAGTAAGGGCTGATAAGCGCATGACCGTTTGCTCTAACTGTCTGCGCCTCAGTCAGGATTGCACAGTCACCACCAGCCCAGTTAACGGCCGCATTCTGTGGTTCAGATTTTGCACGGATTCTCTGAAGCCTGTAGCGAAAATATGTAGCGGCTACAGCTATTAGCTACAAAAATCTGTTGTTAGCTACAAAAAGTAGCGCGCTACTTAGCTACTCCCCCATCCCTTGCGATGGCCAGGTACAGAGCCAAGCACAACAGTCACAAAGGCAAAGAAGTCATATAGAACAGTTAAAGAGCCCATAGCTCATATCTTCTGCCTGCACGTTTCTATTGGTTGACGTGCCTCCACATCACAATGCATTGCAGCAGAAGTTGAAATGGTTTGGACCTTTTTTCACTGCATACAGACACGTTTCTTGTCCGACTGACTGAGTATGTAGACACCCTTATTCCTAGATTTAAGAACTGTGTTATAGAAGATTATGGTAGCCATTTAAGGGGTTAAATAATCTCACTTACACCTATTTCTGACAAGTCTACCTTACCCTGTCCTGGATTTTAAAGCTTATACCTTACTGTGCAAAAATCAGAGACCACACTTTATTTATTTAATTTCCACTCAAAACGGTCGGGTTAAATTTATTTTACATTTTTCTGAAGATGCCCGATATGAGGTAATCCTCCTGCATGAGGAGGGGGAAGGTCAAAGGAGTAAAAAAAAGATTAAAAGTAGAGAAAATGGGACTCCTAGCAACCGTGCAGGACCTGGTAGATCATCAAACTATCACCATCAGATAAACAATATTTACAGCTTTGAGAAAGGGGAGAAAGTCAAGCTCCCACAGGTCCTGTCCATCCTTCCACTGTGAGAAGACAGCTCAACACTGTGAGTCTGAAAGGATGTGTAGCTGTCAAGAAGCCGTTACTAAGAAAAAGAAACAGGCAAAAAAGAAGAAAATCTGTAAATCAAACAAAGAAGCTGCTGCAGTTCTCAGAACAACAGACTGACCACCCCAGAGTCCAGACCTCAACATCACCGATTATGTTTGGGATTACTTGTGAGAAGCAGAAAATGCAACCAGCTTCTGAGACTGAACTTTAGAGGTGTGGAAAAACATCCCTTCAGATTTCTTTGAGAATCTGACAGCAAGCCTCTCACTGAATACTGCAAAAATGTGAAATCAGATGAAGCTGTTGAGGCTTCTGTGTGATTTTCTGTTAAATATGTTTTTTTTTGTTTCTTGCTTTTTTTCTGAATTTGAAAAATGTAAAGCTTGTTGTTTTGACTGGACATTAACCTTTGTGTGGTGTTGGGGTCTGTGGGACCCAGTTTCAATGCTTACAAAATGAAAAAAATGATGTGAACATATAAAATAACCCATTTTCAGTGTCTTCACTCTGTTCACCCCCCACACATTTATATTACACATGTGGTGTTGGGTGAACCTGCGGGGAGTAAAAGTGTGGAGGTGCTGTGTCCTTCACTCTGTTCTCCTCCTACATGGCCTGCTGTTAGTGTGTGTGTGTGTGTGTGTGTGTGTGTGTGTCTTTGTGTGTGTGTGTGTTTGTATGTGTGTGTGTGTGTGTGTGTGTATGTGTGTGTGTGTGTGTGTGTGTCTGTGTGAGGGTGGACAACAAGGACAGGCTGCTGAGTGGCTACAGCTGCTAAAGGAGAACCCTACTCTGGACACTTGTGATATTTTAAACATCTGGTATTTTTACATAAATTGTTATGACTGTATTGATTTAAAAACACTAATGTGGTGGGTCCAGCAGACCACTGAGTAACAACCACATCAACACCACTCAAGGGTTAAATAAATTAAAGGGTCTCTGACTTTTGCACAGCACTGTTTCCTGTGCAGGTGGTGTTAAGCCGTTTGCATAAAAACTACACGCCTTTGTATAAGCATGTGTTTAGAGAAAGTCGAGAGAGTTTGGGGGGGCAAGGGGGTTGGAGTACATTATGAACAGTCTGGTGAAGCAGGTTATTGGGCAGTAAAGCATGTGTGTAGCAGCTTGAGGAAACAGAATCTGACAGTGACCAGGGAGAGGCCAGAGCAAACACAAATCAAAGACAGACAGAAGAGTGAAAAAAGGGCAAGAGAATGAGGCAATATAACACCATCTCTCAAAGACCACCAGTGCGTGTACAGCTGTGGGCCACGTATGTGTCCTGGTATGTCAGACTGAGTTCGCTAATGTACTTAGAGTACCAGTTCTGTTTCATTCATTGCACTGACAGTCAGTAAGCATGTTTACTGCACTGTAAAACCTGATGAGTTAAGACTCAAATGATTTGAGGAAACTGATTACCTCAAATGTTTCAAGTTCAATTTACACTTAAGTAAATTGAGTAAATTGTACTAACTCCATTTGTTTTGTTGACATTAAAATGACTGAGTATTTAGGACTAATGTTTACGCTGTTCTAAGTCTATATAATTAAGTAATTGTAAATTAAATTCATTATGCTATCATTTTGACAAATTCATATTGTATTGCATTGCAGAGATATGATCATAGACATTCGTAACAATGTCTTGTCCACCTTAAAACCACTACAGACCACCTTACCAAATGCTGACAGTGCAATCCAGAGTACAGACGTAGTCTCTATGGCTTTTAGCCACAGCAGAACCTCAGAACCGCAGAACCGCACTCAGCAGGGAGGAACTTAGTAACTCAGCTCTCTCCACACTGATTTTTGAATTGTGATGCGTGAGTCATAAAAGTTTATAAATCTAGTTGACACAAGGGAAGGGAGGCTGGGGAGAATGACAACACACAGATGGCGAAGAGACACGCCCAATATGTAAATATATGGTACTAAGAGCCAATAGGAGCGATTGAGTTTTACTCAAGAAGGTTGCATTGACCCAACATTTATCAAGTAAAGCTGAGAGTCTAAACTAAACTGCAGTAAGTTTATTCACCTCAAATCCTGGGATCTTTGAGTCTGAAATCATCAAAACAAAGTTATGAAAAAAGTCCAAATAATTTAAATGTAAACATTTATGCTGTTTATCACATTAAGCCAGTCTTTAAAAACAACACGTTATTGGCCTGTTGGTGTTTGCTTGTAAAGTTAAATAAAAATAGTGTTTGTAATGCATTTAAATAAAGTTAGTTTAGCTCTAATTGCTTAACCGATATGCTGAAAAACAATCTTACTCAAAATGACTGAGTTCATTTTTGAGTTCATTTGATTTTCTCAGATTAAGTTACACCGACTTTCTGTAGTATTTAAGATGTATTAACTTAATTCTTTCATTAGGATGTGCAGTGAGTTTTATAGTGTATTATGGGTTATTAAAGATCGTTAGAGTGTTATTAGAGATAACATTGGATTGAGTTTAATGCCAAAAACAAACTTCGAAGTCTTGATCAAATAACAAGCCTTGTTGCTCTTTTTATCTGTTTTAATAACGTCTCTGAATTAATATCAAGTTATAGCTTTGAACACTGAATTGATCTCTAAGCAAAGTTGTTGTGGTGTTTTGCTGAAGGAGTTCCTCGGGAGACGGAACAGGAGAAGGAGTTTGCAGACTTTGACATCTTTGATGATCCTCAGACGCCGTACTCCACCTTTAACTTCCAGTACTCCAACCAGGCTTTCACCCAGCTCCATGACCTCATGGAGTTCAACACACTCAACAACATAGAGGTGAGGGCTCAGCTCAGGGTCATGCTGTCTCGTAACGTCCTGAAAATGCCTTGTACACATCATGTGACAATGTTGAGCCTCTGTGTCAAGGAAACATTATACTAACTGGTATCATTTATCATTTTGGAAGCTTACGATTGTGACTGGGATCCCTAGGGACCCCTGTGGCATAAGCACTGGAGACAAGCCAAACTTCCAGTGCTAGGTACTTACTGTTTTGGACAGAAAAAAAAGGGAGGCATGCATGTTTTCTTTATAAAGCCCATGTGGAAAACTGGGTTTTCTTCACTTATTTAAATAAAAGAGTTTGTATGTAAACAAGGTTAAAGTTTCAAAACATACAGTTCAGTCCTCAGTCCATTTGATTTACACGTAGAAACAAGTGAGGTTTTCACACTAGTTTCTTTGCTAAAGTCTGAACCAGAGTTTTGTGATATGTTTCATTTGAGCCCAGTCCCATTTCTTCTTTTTACCCCTACTCCTTGTTTTTGAGTGTCGCCTTGCCCCCTGGAACTGAGTTACAGGGGTAGTGGTTGAAATCTTCCCTCTGAAATGGGACCCTCAAATAAAAAGAGCATCACTTCATTAACAGCTACCAGCGCTGCTCTGTAGGAGACCCTGCCAGTCTGCAGTGACAGCAGAGGAGGGTAAAGTTCAGCTCCTCACTGCTGGGCTTTAGTTACATTTAGGGCATCAATGCCTTCAAAGAGGGGGGCAATTATTTATTATCACCCACCCCTAATTCTTCAGTGATATGAAGCTGAAGTCAGATATTCACCAGCTTCTTGTTCGAATTTTCCCGTTCCACCTTAAATGGAGCAGCAGTCACATTCTGGCTTCAGGCATCAGAACTGCTGGACTATTTAAGGTGGAACTGGAAAGTTAGCTACCTAGCTACCGAGACATTAGCATGCTATTAGCGATTTTTATGCTTGTTATGATGAAAAGGGCCATAATACACTGAAACGACATTAAACTAAGATAATACAGTGGTTATCGTAATTTTTTAACTGAGAAAATTCCCACATTTGTGGGTTTCTTTGGTTTCTTGTTCTCCATCTTGCTGGTTTTTCTATTTTTCTCATATCTCTCTGTTTGGAGTCTCTGAAAAACCTCAGTTTGGAGGGTCATGTAGCCCCAACACTTCACCCCACCCCTCTACCTCAACAAAATCGGGACACCCTACCCCTAGACGTGAACGCGCAAAACAGAGGGGTAAGGGCTGAGTGGGAGGGGCGAGGGGTGAAATGGGACTGGGCCTTGGTTTGGTTGGTTTCACACTATAACAGTGTGGCATGTGCCCGGCCCCTGGGCCCCGTCATCGGCTGCGAGAGCCGGCAGGAAGGTGGGGCCTGAACACTCAGCGGCGACGAACCTTGCCAAGGGCAGCAGGGAGAGAGCCGTGAGTGGGGAGGGGGCGGAGCGCAAAGCCCGAGCTCCCCCGACAGACACGGGTCACGCGAGTGATGGCGTGAGGAGGAGGACGATGGTGCCGGCCACGGGAGGCACCAAGGCAAGGAGCGAGTCCTGAGCTCCACCGCCCTGGGCCCCGCCCCCTGTGCCGCAGTGAGGCTGCTTCAGGATACCTTACGTTCGACCCGGGTGGCCGAGCTGCAAGCTGGGGGCGGGGACGGGGAGGCGGAGCAGTGAGTTCTCGTTCCTGGGGTCTCCCTTCCTGCCGGCTCTCGCGGCCGTCATCGTCGGGGCCCGGGGGGCGGGCGCATGCCACACAGGGAGTGCTCTGTTACAAAACACTCCTAGTAACATCCTGTTTGAGACTTTTGTTAAGTTTATTAGTTTATTGTTACTAGTTTTTGGCTATTTTAGTGTATTTGTTGTTTCACCCACTGTCCCATTTTCTCCCCAGGTGATTAAAGAGGCCATAAAAGACAGCATTGTGTACAGGAAGGAGAATCGAACTCGCTGCTCCGTGTCCCTCTCCCTCAGTGAGATCCAGAACAAGAGGTTTCTGAAGAGAGATACCAGGGGACAGGCCCATAAGTGAATCAGAGGAGGATTCTGACACGTCAGCCGTAGGTGTTGCAGGACAAGCCGTTTCTGGGAATACAAGTTCTTTGGGAAAGAGTTACCACTGACGTTACTGCCTAATTATCAATATCTGCTCTAACTGAATTCTAAATTATTTCAAATAATTGGGCTTTGCCTGAGGAAAAAAACTGCACCTTGTTCCACAACACAGGTGTCACAGGTGTTGCATGTTTACAGATGTCGCACATCTCATTGAGCACATTTCGCTTTTTTATTCACTTACATCTCCATGAAATGTGAATTAAGAAACTCGGTACAGTTACTCATGAAACAGACAACTCAAGGAGTTCTCAGCCATGGAATCGGAGACTGATGCGACTTTAGGGCTTGAGGCTGTAGCCTTTTAAAAGTCCTACTAAAGAATGCTAAGGTTCAGAAGTAGTAGTGCGAGTGCACTGGGACTCCTAAGTGCATTCGAATTGTAAACAAACCTTCATGATAAACCTTCTCAATCAAGTCTCTCTGCACTGGTGTACAGTAGCAGTGCTTCCCTTGTATTAATTATTATTTTACTTTTATTTGTTTGCATAATTCGATCATTAAGATTTCATTCATAAGAAGTCCTTCAGAGTGTTTTGGGGTGAAACGGTGGATTGTAAACTTGCTGACTTTGGGATTTCTTTACAGTGGTAGCGATAGGAACCTGGGGTCGTATTACAGAAACCTCCTATCTTTGCTGTCTTAAGTTAAGGTCTGACTGGTCAAGATAGGATTTTTCACCAGTTTGTATTACAGAAGCAAAACTTATCTTAATTTAAGAATCTTATCTTATCTTACAGCATCTTTTCTTACCTCAAGTTAGGAAATCTTAACTTACTCGATCGACACTATCGTGTCTGTTGCCTAGCAACCGACCATATGCGCAGAGTTGAAATTTAAAACGTAATCCAGTTAGTTAGCCAGACAGCTAACGTTAGCTACCGTTACTGATGTAACAAAGGTCAAATAAAACTAAAGCATGATAAACTGTAAGTTGTGATTACTGTGAGAGCGCCCCCTGCTGTTTATCAGAGCGTCGCCGCTCTGCAGTTTCAGTCTCCATTTCCCAAACGGTTTAGCCGAGCGCGCTAACGTTATTCCTCCTAATAAACAGACACAAAACAATAGAAACAGAACTTAAAACAGAAGCTGTCTTAAAGTTAGGAGAGTATTTAGGAGGTTTAGTCTAGTTAGGACGTTTCTGCAATACTGTTTTCTTATCTGGAGTTAGGATAAGATTAAGAACTGTTGTTGTGTAAGAGCTTCTGTCCTAAATTCAGTCCCTAACTAAAGTTGCCATGGTGACCAAGCAGATAAGATAAGATTTCAGACCTAAGTCGTTTCTGCACTATGGCCCCAGAGGTTTTAGTGTCTGTTTTATTTGCTATCAAGAACATAAACGTCTTCTGAGTTTATATGTAATATTTATTATATTTATTATTAATGCTGTATCTGAAAAATGCTCTTATAACAGTCTTAATAAATATATAGTCTTATAAATAATCTTTGGACACTATTTTGCCTTTCAGTGCCCTGCATGTACCTCTCTGTCCTGCATAAGTGTGAAAATTATGTTTTAGACCAAACCCTTGCAGCATAATTATCATAAAAACAATGTCTGGAGGATCAGGCAGCATAAATGTAGCCATTTCATTTAATAGCTTTTGTTTGGAGCTTTTAGAGACATTAAACTCTTCAGACATTTGGAGCCGGATTCACGAAAGCTTTCCTAAGAAAAAACTTGTCCTTAAGACAAACACTAAGAATGTTCTGAAATTCTCAAATATTCTCTGAAAATAATTATTTTCTTCATTGTTTTCTTATGCAGACTATGTTGCATTTTACCACGTACCATAAACGAGATCAGTTCTGAACTGTATTAACTGTTATTTCCGTTATTTAGTTTAATCCACTCAGAGGAGCAAAACAGAGCAAAAACATCAAACCAAGTGTTTTAGAAAAATAGCAAACAAGAACGAGAGGTGATGGTGGAAGAAAGAGCAAAACAAATCCTCATTGGAAAAAATGAGAATTATGGGGTGACAGATGAGGATGAGGAGCGGCAGAGACAGCGTCCGTGATAAATTTACATGCTCACCTTGTCAACTCTTACAGCCTAGGTCAGGGGTCGGCAACTTGCGGCTCTTTTACTGCCCCGTTGTGGCTCCACAGCAGAATTAGATTTGCAGGTAAAAATAAAATAATCCTCCTTTACAGTAAAATAAAGCTCTGCTGATCGTTCAACACAGTTTAACAATAAATGATCTCAAACTCTGAAGTTAATGTAGAACTGCTAATTCACCCTTTAACCCTGAAGATCGGCACACAGACTGCTGGTCACCATAGCAATGCAGACAACAATCTCACCTGACCTAACATCGATAATTTAGTGACGAATGGACTTACTTGCGTTTATAATCACTCCAGCTGGTTTCCTAATCCGTTTAATCTGCAACAAGAAACTGACAAACACTAAAAAGTCTAATAAGAGGCTGAAGTCAGCTGGGCTAGAGGGCAGTTACATTTAAGGTGGAACGGGAAAATTCGAACAAGATTCTTCAGCCTTGTAAAACGTTGAACGTTCAGAGAAATTTTACAAGACATTATTACAGTTTTCCTGGTGAAGATGCTGGGCTAATGCTTTAAGCAGAGCAGAGTAAGTCTGTGTTGTCGTTAATGGTATATTTTTATCCTATACTAGTTCATCAGCACATACTGAGACCTACTTACAGCCAAGATGGTAAAATGGACATTAAATACTGTGGCTCCCAAGGTGGTTTGATTTTTGTTGAAAGGACAAAATGGCTCTTCTTAAATTTGGGCTGTGACCTCTGAACTAAGGCGAGTGTGAGGCTGTCGTAAGGTTAAGAAAACATTTAAGAACATAATATTTTCAAGAATACCACTTGTTCTAAAAATTATTCTTAAGAAAATAGTTAAGAAAACAAAAATCTTAGGTTATTTGAAGTATAACAATTTCTTCTAACTTTTTTCTTAAGAATGAAGTTGAGAAAAAACACATTTGAGAAGTTTTTCTTTCTTAAGACACTTTCGTGAATCCGGCTTCTGGGTTCCTGTCTCTACTGTTTAGAACAATCCTGACTTGTTAAGTTTCTCTAGAATGACAGATTTCACTTCAAACCACTCTGAGTAACTTTGCTTGCATCTTAACCATTAAACTATGCAGACATTTTGATTATGTATCTATTTCATATCCCATTTCGAAGAGCTGAGGTTGGAGATTAAATGTGTGGCGTTTTACCCTGAGATTTATTCCATGTCAAAAGAAAATAAATTAGAGGAATTTTAGCGATGTTCTCAGTTTTGTTCTGGATACTAGTTTGCAAAGTTCTCCTTAAATAACATTGAAGGCATTGTTGAGATATGGTACTGTTTACCGTAAATGGTAGTAATACTCCACTGTTTCTTGGTTAGCTTATCAAAAAAGAGGATAAGATTACTTTTTCGTGAAGAATGGAGTCATGGCGTCACAGAAAGGACGAGTGGAGAAAAAGCAGGAGTGTCCGCTTTAGCTCTATAACCCGGGTTATCCAAACAGCTCTTCGGAGTTCAACGACAACAGCTTGGAGCTTCAGAGTATTTGCGTGTTTGATGCTGGTGACTATAACAACGTCAAGTGTGTCCTCCCGACTCCCTCGTCGGGGAGTGGCTCCGGATTAGGACTGTGTATCGGGATCCAAAATATAAGGCAAATAAGGGAAATAAGCCCTCGGTGCCTGGATCCCTGTAATTATCCACATTACACAGGTGTTTATGTTCCTGACTCTGTTGTTTCAGACTCCCACTCAGATACATAGATGGTTCATTTCCTCCTCTGTTAACCCCAATCTGAGAGAGAGAGAGAGAGAGAGAGGTGTTGAAGCATGTCACCTGAGCTTCAGACGGGTTTCCCAACACCACCCATGTAGGGGAAATACTCGCGTAACGCATCTTTCCCTCACGTGACGTGTGGAGGCCACCAGAACAAAGTGGAATTTTGCACACTACAGGACTGCAGCGTGGCTACGCCTTTAAACTGGACTACACTGCACTGCACTGCACTCTTAACCGGAACATACAGTCCAGAACTGCAACCAGCAACAGTGCTTTATATTTTTTGTCGATTTTTTATGGAGGAAAATGTCTACAGGACTCCAACTAGTTTCCACTTTTATTAAACAGATCTGTTTTTCTTTCTCTTATGGGCTGCTTTACTGGGGTTTTATGGAAACAGTGCCTAAATACACAAGAATGTTTCATTTTCCTTTTAAATAACCATGAAAAGAACTGCATTGTGTTATAGAGAATAGTGATTGTAAGTGCCGTTATTATGAAGAATAAATGACTAATTGAAACTTGGAATGACTACGTGTGGAATTTGTAATATTTGAGAATAAACCTTTCAGATCCAAACTCCCTCATGTTTGCTTATCTACAAAGTCCGGTACACAAAACATGCAAGTTGTGGTTTTCATTGTTGATACTCCAAACTAAACTAATGAGCAAGACTACTTTCCCTTTTGGACGGAGAACTCTGTAACAAAAACATTTCCATAGTAACTTTGGAATAAAAACCAGACTGACTGTAAAGAGTTTATAAAGAACCAGGGGCTCATGTTGGTCAACAGCATTTCACTGCTGTTGGAAGAAAACCTCATATCTCCAAAATGGTAACTTTACAGGAGAAGGAAAAAACATACTTTACTTTCAATGTAAGTCAATGGAGCTATACTAGTACTTACTGAGACCTACTTACAGCCAAGATGGTAAAATGGACATTAAATACTGTGGCTCCCAAGGTGGTTTGATTTTTGTTGAAAGGACAAAATGGCTCTTCTTAAATTTGGGTTGCGACCTCTGAACTAAGGCGAGTGTGAGGGTGTCGTAAGGTTAAGGAAAACATTTAAGGACATAATATTTTCAAGAATACCACTTGTTCTAAGAATTATTCTTAAGAAAATAGTTAAGAAAACAAAATTTTTAAGTTATTTGAAGTATAACAATTTCTTCTAACTTTTTTCTTAAGAATGAAGTTGAGAAAAAACACATTTGAGAAGTTTTTCTTTCTTAAGACACTTTCGTGAATCCGGCCTCTGGTTCCTGTCTCTACTGTTTAGAACAATCCTGACTTGTTAAGTTTCTCTAGAATGGCAGATTTCACTTCAAACCACTCTGAGTAACTTTGCTTGCATCTTAACCATTAAACTATGCAGACATTTCGATTATGTATGTGTTTCATATCCCATTTCCAAGAGCTGAGGTCCCAGATTGGAGATTGGATTAAATGTGTGGCGTTGTCCTCAGGCCGTGTTATCCCGCGATTGAAGGCATTGTTGAGATATGATACGGAACCAGACATTTTTTCAAGTAATTTTGGGTCATGTTGGTCCATTCATCATGAAATTTACACACAATGCATAAGACAACAGGCATTTTTGAAAAACGGACAAAAATGGAGATACAAGATTTTGTATATTTGCATTTAAATCTTCTACAGACTCTTAAATAAACAATCCCATTTCACCCCTCGCCCCTACCTCTCAGCCCTTAGCTCTCTGTTTTGCACTTCACGTCTAGGGGTAGGGTGTCCCAATTCTTATTGAGATAGAGGGGTAGGACAAAGTGTTAGGGCTACATGACCCTCCAAACGAAGGGTTTTCAGAGACTCCAAACAGAGAGTTATAAGAAAAAAAGGAAAACCTTGGCTGAACAAGAGACCAAAGAAACCCACAAATGTGAGAATTTTCCCTGTTAAAAAATTATAACCACTGTATTATCTTAGTTTAATGTTGTTTCAGTGTATAATAGTTGTTTTCTTCATAACAAGCATAAAAAATAGTTAGCTAACTTTCCCAGTTCCACCTTAAATAGTCCAGCAGTTCTGATGCCTGAAGTGCCAGAATGTAACTGCTGCACCATTTAAGGTGGAACGGGAAAATTCGAACAAGAAGCTGGTGAATATCTGACTTCAGCTTCATATCACTGAAGAATTAGCAGTGGGTGATAAT